ATCCAAAGAGCTTTGTCATTTCTGATTGGAATACAGGAGGGTCAAGCTTATAAACTGTAGCGGTCTATCATTGCTTAATGAGCAGAAACTACCCATGAATACCCCTCGTCCCTACCCACAGCGCCCGTTTGCATGTATTAGCTCTAGAATTGCCACAGTTATCCAAGTAACGTTGGAGCGATCAAAGGAACCATAACTGATTTAATGAGCCATTCACAGTTTCACTGTACCGACCGTGTGTACTTAGACTTGCATGGCTTAATCTTTGAGATAAGCATATGCTACTGGCAGGATCAACCAGGTAGTCCCCATGGAGAAGGCCGGGCGGGCAGGCGGGTCGCCCGGAGGCGAGACCGCCAGCACCGGCCTGCTTGACTTCCCTACGTTTCTCCTTTTGACCTTGAGCTTGTTTGGAGTTTCTGGCAGGGGAGCGCAGCTACTGGTACACCAGTGATGAGCCATTAAGGTTGGTTTATGCTTGACGCGTCCGCGAGGTCCGCACGGCTCCGCGCTGCGAAATTACGTCATTTTAACAACCACGCCCCTCCACCGTGTCTCCGCACGGCCCAAAATTTCCGCAACGCGCACCTAGGAAAATTTCTAACCACACGGACAGTCGGACGCAGAAAAACATGGCGGACCGGCAAGAACTAGTATGGCAGAGGTTCGTAAATACAGACATTTGAATGATTCAGCTCTCAGAGATCACCGTGATCAACATGTTGTTAATAATTCTTGGAGAGAAATAGCTCGCACTGTCGGAAAACACGAGGACGCTGTTAAAAATGCTGGAATGCCATGTTATACACAGTAATTTCTACTTCTACTATGGTGTAGTGTTGGATGCATGCTGTAGAGCTCCATGCTGCCCCCTATAGTTTGGGAGAATATTGGCTCACCGCAGAGACAAGCCGCACAAACCATAAACGCTGCGAGTTGTGAAGCACGTTCCATCCGCGAGCCGCATCACCAAGCGGAAAGTGAATGTGTCAAGCATAAACCAAGCTTAAGTCTCTGCTGTGTGGAATTGTTGTTCTGATTAGATGGAGGAGGGGGTGACCGAGACTGAAACTTAGGTTAATATGATGCTAGCTTGGATGCTAACTTGATCTGCATTGAAATAAGGTCAACAATGAAAGAGGAGAGAGGGATAACATAAAGGGATTTGTGTTTTCTGTGTTAGAGTGAAGTGATTAGCATAGAGTTCAACCTTGCACTACAGTGGACCATTGTTTTAGCCTGTTGTAGCATTAGCAATGACCTCGAGTGCCGGATTTCTGGCAGTTTTAGTTGTTTCCCTGCTTGAACGTTGCAGATTTGTTTTACTTGAGTGATTAGCAGCTCCCACAGAACCTGTTGAAGGCTAAGGAAATAATTTAGCAATTAGAATCAGATGGGTCTGAGCTGGAACATATCAAAAACATTACTTGTCCGTTAGCGCTACAAGACTATTTGCACTATATGAAGCGTGGTTTACAGCACCTTTCAGATCAGAAGGGGAGAAATATGGGTAGCCTAAGTCTCCTCCCTTTCCGATCAGTTCGTGGGTCCCTTGAAAAACGAAAAAATTTACGGAAGTCAATAGGGCTAAGAGCTATTTTTTAATCCTCTTTGCCTTATGCCATGAATAGCATACAGGTGCTGGCCAGTAAATTAGAATATCATCAAAAGGTTGAAAATATTTCAGTAATTCCATTCAAAACGTGAAACTTGTACATTATATTCATGCAATGCACACAGACCAATGTATTTCCAATGTTCATTACATTTAAATTTGATATTCATATGTGACAACTAATGAAAACTCCAAATTTGGTATCTCAAAAAATTAGAATATTCTGAAAAGGCTGAATATAGAAGACACCTGCTGCCACTCTAATCAGCTGATTTACTCAAAACACCTGCAAAGGCCTTTAAAAGGTCCCTCAGTCTTGTTTTGAAGGCACCACAATCATGGGGAAGACTTCTGACTTAACAGCTGTCCAAAAGACAATCATTGACACCTTGCACAAGGAGGGCAAGACACAAAAGGTGATTGCTAAAGAAGCTGGCTGTTCGCAGAGCTCTGTGTCCAAGCACATTAACAGACAGGCGAAGGGACGGAAAAAATGTGGTAGAAAAAAGTGTACAAGCTCTAGGGATAACCGCACCCTGCAGAGAATTGTGACGACAAACCCATTCAAAAATGTGGGGGAGATCCACAAAGAGTGGACTGCAGCTGGAGTCAGCGCTTCAAGAACCACCACGAGGAGACTCATGAAAGACATGGGATTCAGGTGTCGCATTCCGTGTGTCAAGCCACTCTTGAACAAGAAACAGCGCAAGAAGCGTCTCGCCTGGGCCAAGGACAAAAAGGACTGGACTGATGCTGAGTGGTCCAAAGTTATGTTTTCTGATGAAAGCAAGTTCTGCATTTCCTTTGGAAATCAAGGACCCAGAGTCTGGAGGAAGAGCGGAGAAGCACAGAATCCACGTTGCATGAGGTCCAGTGTAAAGTTTCCACCGTCAGTGATGGTGTGGGGTGCCATGTCATCTGCCGGTGTTGGCCCACTCTGTTTCCTGAGGTCCAGGGTCAATGCAGCCGTCTACCAGGAAGTTTTAGAGCACTTCATGCTTCCTGCTGCTGACCAACTTTATGGGGATGCAGACTTCACCTTTCAACAGGACTTGGCACCTGTACACAGTGCCAAAACCACCAGCACCTGGTTCAAGGACCATGGTATCCCTGTCCTTGATTGGCCAGCAAACTCGCCTGACCTTAACCCCATAGAAAATCTATGGGGTATTGTGAAGCGGAGGATGCAATACGCTAGACCCAACAATGCAGAGGAGCTGAAGACGACATCAGAGCAACCCGGGCTCTCATAACACCTGAGCAGTGCCACAGACTGATCGAGTCCATGCCACGCCGCATTACTGCAGTTATTGAGGCAAAAGGAGCCCCGACTAAGTATTGAGTGCTATACATGCACATTCTTTTCATGTTCATTCTTTTCAGTTGGCCAACATTAGAGAAACAAACATTTTTTCATTTGCCTTTAGAATATTCTAATTTTCTGAGATACCAGATTTGATGTTTTCATTGGTTGTCACCTATAAATATCAAAATTAAACGTAATAAACATCGGAAATACATTGGTCTGTGTGCATTGCATGAATATAATGTACAAGTTTCACGTTTTGAATGGAATTACTGAAATATTTTCAACCTTTTGATGATATTCTAATTTACTGGCCAGCACCTGTATATGTTGTACTTAAATTAAAATAAAAAGGAATTATGTGTGTTTCGACCACGTCTGTCATGTACTTTGAGATTTATCAGCTTGTAAAAGTTCGTAATTAGCATGACTATAAATCGGACGTTGCATGTCGCATATATGACGTCACCACAGAATCTCCTCTTCCCTGGTGTAGTTGCTACTTACCATATGGCAATATTTATGGTGGTTCTTTCATCCTGGATGAAGGATTCGAAGTTTGCTAAACTTGCAGCCATTTTTCTACCACTTTTCTCCGTGTCTGGTCCAATGACGTCAATTTGGTGATGCGCATTTGTAGTCCTGGACGTAATTTCACACAAAACCTAAAATAACTTTTGCCCCCATTAAAAAATAAGCGCTTTCCTGGCATCAGAATGTGACTTTAAAATTGACGAACATCAAATGTGAAATACATGGCACATATCAAACGGGACTATAAAATAGCTTTTACAAATGCTGTGAAACCCCCCCCCCCCGCCTTCAGATTGTGGTCTCCGCATCGAGGTCATCAAGATGGAGGCACTCACTGTGCTCTGTGCTTTCCCATGACCTCCCACCCACCTGTGGATTCAGTTGGCCGAGCGCCGCACAGGCTGCTCCCGCTGAGGAAACCAGGGTCCCAGCCTCTTCCCCCTACCTACCGGGTCTCATGTTGTGAACTGTGACGTTCGTGCTTACATGTAGAGGTGTTTTTTTTGCATAGTAGAGCTACATCCTGCCGGTGTAACTCTGTTCATGCCTTTTTCTCCCTCCCCAAACTCTCCTCATGTAATCCCCTCTTCATCTATTGAAAAGAGCGCTGTTATGGCTGCTCTCGTGGCCTGCCTGTATCTGTCCTGTCTACATGTGTGTGTGTAATCTTGGTCAGGCTGTTCTGTGGAGTCAAGTTCCTATGCTCTGGTTCGCTGGAGCGCTGGCAATAAAATTCTCTCTGATTCTCTGATTACAGCCCCATTGACTTGCATTCGTTTTTGCGTTCTTTCAGGGACCCATGGTCTGGAAGTAGATGGGCGTGACTTAGGCTCCCTATAACAGTTCATATTTAAAAATCTCATCCTCTCCTTGATGATGTCATCCTTGGACCACCGCTTTAAGATTATATGTTCACTTCCTCTGTAATGTAGACAGGAAAATCAAACCAACTTCTAGGACAGCAGTGTCAAATACCCCGAAGAACTGAGTACACGGCAGCACAAAAGAAGCTCTGAATCTCCTAATGAAATATACAAGACGAGATAACGTAAACCAGATGAAACAAGCTACTGGAGCAGGGTAATGACAGAGAGGACACACCAGCTGTGAGGTTACAGATGCCATCCAGAGCTTTGAATCTTCTCCTGTTTGTTCTTTTGTTAACAGGTGATCAGTGTCAGGCCCGCAGCAGACTGCCGCATCTTCATCACCTCTGGCTCGGGCTCCCAATTGTTGCTTCAGCAATCCTAGCTCGGTGCCAAGATCAGCTTCGGGCAACTCTGTCTTCCTGCTTTGCGGCCATGTGCAGCTGTATAAAGCCGAGTCTGCCACAGGAGCTTACAGATTAATCACAGAACTTTGTGCAAAACAACACAAGTACTGAAAAGCAGATTTAACCACTAGCTTAAACTGCTGCATCCTGAAGGAGACGCGGGTCTACCGAGGTAACAATAAAGCAGCTGTTCACGTCACCATAGAGACGACTGCAGGGTGGCATGGAGAGAATGCAAACATGTTTATATGACCCTAGGGAAAAGTGTTTACCTAGGTGCACAGATACAGACGATGACTCATTAGAAAACACAGATCACACCGTCGTCCACCCATTAACCTGTGGAGGAAAGAGAGTAAAGGAGGCTTTAGATATGACGTGGGGTCTGTTTCGCACTTCGATGGTTTTCCTAGTATTCAACTATTTTTGACCACAGAGTAAAACCAAAATAGAAAAGGTGACATTTTCAAACAACAAACACTCAAGTTAAGCCAAACAGCTCCCTGCTCCCACAAACATAAATCAAGCCCTGCTTCAGTGTCGTCCTCGTCACTATGACGTCAGAGGACTGAGTTCTCTCTGTTACCCTCGGCCTCCACAGCAACCGAGGTGTGTGTGTGTGTGTGGGTGGGGGGTGACACCCGTCTTTCCCTGACATAACATGGGGGGTACTTCCTAAATTATATTGACTATAATTAAAAGAGTTCCAAATTCAAAGAAGCTGCAGATTAAAACCATCAGCAGCAGATTTACCAAGATGTACACGCTGAACTAGAAAGGAATTCACACTCTGTTGGTGCAGCCATGAGAACACCTCAGCATGTCTTTTATTTAATGAGCACCTAAAAATCGTCCAACTGTCCCATGTCCACAAGACAAAAATCACACACACACACACACATATACGTATATGTATATATATATGTGTGTGTGTGTATATATATATATATATATATATATATATATATATATATATATATAATTTAGGGAAAATATGTTTTGCACAAACATTCCCCATATATTTTTTAATATTGTAATTTAGCAGGCTTTTGCTTGTTTGTTTTTCGTATCATTTCATTTAAATTGAGTTAGTGCTTCAATGAGATATGGGCACTAAAAAGACTTCTACCAAGTGGCTGACCTGACAAACAATAGGGTTATTCAATATATGTAAGGATTTTCAGAAACACTTATACTTTAGGAAAATAATCCATGGTTCAAGTGGTCCATCTTTTTAACACAGCATTTCTTAAGAGTGGTTTGCACAGACAGAAACAGAACCACGTAGTTTAGTGAGTAGTTTGGTGTCAAACAAACCTGGTATTATGTATAACCTATAACCGTGGTACCCAATCGTTTTTAACGAGGACCCCCTTTTCCTGTGTCCAAGACAAGCCAGGGCCCGGCCTCCCCAACCCAGAGTCCTACCCGCATACACACATTAACAGTGATTATTTACTAACTTTATAATGACATATAGTACTATAACTCTTACACTGAGATTTGATTATACAATCGGGTGTGTAATTGGGATTTTATAGATTTAACTTTTACAAATCTATTCTTTGTAACCTCACAACCTCTGTACATGCAAAACTGTCAGGCCCCCCCTTGAGGGGTCACAGACACCAGGTTGGGAACCACTGGCCTACGATCTATGATCTAATGTGTGTGTGTGTGTGTGTGTGTGTGTGTGTGTGTGTGTGTGTGTGTGTGTGTGTGTGTGTGTGTGTGTGTGTGTGTGTGTGTGTGTGTGTGTGTTAGAAAACCTAAACTCTATTCAAACTCACAGGGTAGTTAGTTGACATAACATAGCCTAAGACTAACTTTTATCTGATGGCACAGATAAAAGTGGCTGGCATTAAAAGTTATTCTGCTGCTATAAATAACATTAATGTTGTAGTGTGATAACAATGCTAAATAATAAAAAACATTGTTCTGACGAGAAGCATTTAAAATTCCTAAATGAATTTGTGTTTTTACAACGTTAACCCTTTGATGCATGAATTATGAAATCTTCAACCATGATTTTTTTAACAATTTTTTTCATTAATCTTTAGGTGTGAACAAAACAAATTTCAACAAATATTTGTTGTTAAATTTTATAATTTACAAATAATTTATTACATGTCCACCTTGGTGGATAATGTGCATTCTGAACATGAAATATGTTGGCTTGGCTTACTGAAGTCCAAATGGAGGGACTCAAATGCAATAAAGTCTTCAACAGTTGTGCTTAATAGCAAAAACAAATAAATAACAATTTTGAGTACCTGTCCACTGTAGTGACCATTATGCATCAAAGGGTTAATGTGTCTTATCCTTAATAAAACAAAACAATTAGGGACAAACTATCCATGTTGATGTCATTTTGGACCTGGACTGCATTGCAGGACACATCAGGACACCGTGGAGGTCCAAAACGTTAACAGGAATAACAACAGCTCATAAGTGTGTAGATCAGATGTTCGCTCCTGTGTTCGGTGTGCTGCCGCGGTGCATCGAGCGTCTACCGGGGAGAGTTACATATAAACATCCGTGATGCGGCGCTCCGGGCTTGGGTCACTTACCAGGACGGAGGAGGGCTCGTCCGGTTCCGTATTCCACACCGTCCCAGAGAGCAGGAGACACTTTTAGAGGAGAAATGTGTTTGGGTTAGGGAGGAAGAGCCACTCAGGTGAGCAGCTGGCGACCCGGCCGAGTCGCAGCGCAGTCAGAGCGGACAGACGCAGCAGCAGCGGCGGTGTGCAGCCTCCTCTGATGTGATTGGTCCAGGTGGAAAAGGCGCGTTCACGTGCCCCCCTCACGCGCTGGTGCAATAACCAGATTATTAACGGTGTGGCTTAATAAAGGCAGCAGGCATGTGGTAAATTATTATTTAGACAAGGAATCTCTCTCTGCTGTTATTTAGGGGAGGTATAGACATTTGACCATTTACCCTAAATAGCTCGGGGAGATACAAATGTCAAACTTTGGGTCACAGGATGATATTTAACTGGCAATAATGAGGTGTATGAAAACAAAACATACGTTTTTAAAAATTGTTATAGAATATTTTTGTTAGAACAAAGCTGTTTTAAGTACAAAAAGTCTCTACAAAGGTTTTGAGCTTTAAAATAGAAGATGGCATCTGTATGTATCCTGTGTGTGTGTCACTTTGATTAAAACAACATATTCACATGATGAATCATCCCACCTCCAACTGAATTAAATGTCAAATTTTCGGTGAAGAAGGGGAGTTTAAAAGGTAGAGGTGCACCAAAAAGAAGTTGGTGATTGGAATTGGTTATTTTTAAGCTTCATTGGTAACAGAAAGAAAAGGTGACATTGAAAACCTCAAATTTTCTTTTTTCATGACACTTCTCTTCACGTTCCTGAGTGTATCGTTGCTAAGCAGCATTTTTGTGACCACTGTTGAAAGATGCTAATTACTGCTAGCTCAGTCACTGATCTTCCTCTTAGAAGTTTGTTCTTCCAGAATCAGAATTTTAAATTTAATCACAAATCAGCCTAATTTAAAGACAGAAACAAACAAGGAATTCTGGTAACTTTATTTCTGAGACAAGAATCAGCTAAAATCAGTTTCAGAAAACCAGAGTTTTACAGAATCAGAAACTGGTATTGGCCCACTAAACAACAATCTGTGCATCTGTAGTAAAATAAATAAATAAATAAAGATGTTTTGGAAAATATCTGTCAGACAGACAGTTAGTTGCATCCATCTAAAACTCAAAAGTTACAGTAAAGCCTCTGTCTCTGCAGCTGAAATGATTTGAGACAGACAAAAATGACCAAGTACTCAAGCAAACGCTTGAGTCTGTAACAATTTCTGTTTTTAATGTTTTAAAACTCAAAACATCTGAAATTAAAAGTCAGAACTCTGGCCAGTTAGGTTGAAAATATGTAATTCAGCCTCTAATTAGTAAAGAGAATAGTTTATATAATTAGACTTGATTGTTCAATCTTCTAAATGAAACTTTACATTGCTTTCACTTTACCATAGAACATGAATAAAAAGTGTTTTACTCTTGCTGCTTGAATTGTAGTAACCACAAACTCAACAGTTAAACACTGGTCAGGTCGTTCAAACAAGTAGCTAATAATGCTGTAACGATAATTTCTCTTGTGCGTTACCAATAAGGTTTTGGATTCCTACTGTCATTGAACATACCATCATCAAATCAGCTGAGTAAACGTCTGTAAAATATAAACTTGATCTAAATAAAACACAAATGAAAGCTGACAGGATTTTAATTTGATGGGAAATTTTTAAACTGGGGGGTGAAGATGCATTTATCTGTTTTCTGAGGACCCTCCCTTTAAGTGTCATCACCAGCCATTTATGAGTCTAGGACGTCAAAAGATCCACATCTAGCTGAAGGAAAGTGGAGTCAAATGTTTTATAGTGAAATCAGCTGCAAAGACCATGAAGACAGGCTTTAAAATAGTGATTTGTTACTGTAGTCCTGTTCATAGTTGACCAAAATGTGTCAGATTCAGGACACTGACACTAATTAATGTTAATTATTTTCCCAATAAAAGCTTCTTTTGTAAAACTGGTGATGAGCCTGAGTATATTTGCATCAGTTTTAGCTTTAGAGTCACTGACCTCCAAATAAAAATGAGTTATTTTAGAAACAGTGATGTTTATGTTGCCATTTCATGTTTATTTTACCTAAATATAGAATTCAAATGAGTTGTAAATCATTGCTTCTGTTTTTGAATGAAATTGGAGACAAAAAGTTCATTGTAGTTTTATTATGTAATATCTCAACCTTGAACTTTCTGGTGCATTTTGTCAGAGTGGAAATATTTGACATAAAAAATTGTAAGATTTATTTTTATTTAAATATTTTAAAGATTTTCTAAGAGTGTCTAACTTTCTGTGTCTACATGAGTTTTTAACTTTATTCTCACCTAAATGCCTTCATCAGTATTGTTTCACCCAAGATGAAACATTTGTAATGTTGTAAAAGCAAAGTAAAAAAAGTTTTGTAAATGTGTGGGTTTTTTCAGTTTTATAGAAAATGCTGACAAAAATTTATAGATGTACAAAAAGGTGAAACCAGGCAAGAACAAGAGATGTAAATTAAAGAAATGTATTCTGCTATCCTCAAAATAATTCCAAAATTCCAGATAACTACAAGCAGACAGTTAAACCTTATTTACTTAAGTGCATCAATGCATCCCTAATGACAGACATCCATCACTTTTCCCATTATCTGACTAACTGTTTGCTCCAGACGGTGTTGAGTCCCAACAGGCCACGTTTAAACTCACAATGCGCGCCCAGATTAAACACATCGCTGAGTCTATGATCAACACTGTCGAAGCTTGGGGATTAAACGAAATCCTGCCAAACGTGTAGCTGTGGGTGTGGTGGGCTTGTGAAAAGCACCTGGACTTGAGTAAATTCAGACAATTTGAGTGAAATGACTCCAGACTTGTTGAAGAGGACAAGTCTCCTTGTAGATTACATCAACATGTCAACAGACCATGGGTGTACAGTAAACCACTGCTGTCTGCTGGAGGACATCATCAAATGATTAGAACGCGGGGATAGTTTGTCCTTGCTTTGGAGCCGTTTCCTGTGCACAAGCCCCACAATTGCTTTTGTTTTGTCTCACGCCATTTTTTAATTGTTTTGTTTCAATTTGTTTAAAAAAGCTGCTGCTACAGGTCTAAAAATCATTACAGTACTAGCAGCCATTGCAGGAGTTTTAAATCATCTTATTGAAAGAAAAGAGTTTAATCCCATCTAAAGGTAATGAAATACAAATACTCAAGTCACAAGTTAAATCATCATACTCAAGTTAAAAGTGCATGAAGTAAGAATGACATCCTGTGGTCAAATTTGGGTACTGCAGCCCATGTAGGAGAGCCACTTAGATGACAAAAGAATTAGTCATATCAAAATGTTGGTAAATGAAAAAATGTTGTTAGTGTTATTTTTGGAGTAGACTATTATTTTCCAAGTCACTGTGAGCATTGTTAGCTTCAAGATTAGCTTCTAGCCCTCTTTAGCCGAGTAAAACAAAAGGATGGCATTGCTTCCCAGGGGTATATGAAATAACTTCTGGGCCGCTCCTTTTGCTGGCGGACATTTTTTCCACAATGCTACTGTTTTTTGTTGGCTGGTGACGATTTACAATTGCCTGCACAATATTGGCCAACACAGAATTGTTAACCCTGCAGGCATATGACTGACTCTGGAACCAGGACGTGTGGAGGCGGGACAGGTTTTAAACAAAGACTACATCCCTCTTCAGTCTTTTAAGAGGAGAAAAACAGACGTCCATCATCATTTATGACATTAAAAGTTTTATTCCATCAGAGTATGTCATAAGTCACAATGTAATTCATTCAGAGGACCAGGAGAGCATACGGTATGTGTGATGTAAAACGTGGCATTCAATGACCAGAAGAAATGTCATATTTTACAGTGCTCTGTGGGTTAACAAAATACCACAAATTATGATGTGGGGGAGATTTAAGTTTCGTTTTTCTTTTTTTTTCTGCATTATACGTTTAGAAACAGCGATTTTAAAGCAGCGCAAACATAGCCTGTTTATTTCTTTAATTATGCTTCACCAGCAACTCTTCAAATTTTACAAATGCCGGTTGTTTTGGCAACATCTGCTGATGTCCTTGCCTACTGAGTTAAAACCAATCAGCATTTAAAGACCCACTCAGTGACGCTACCAGCCCTTTACGAGTACCTGCCCTTCCTCAGGTGCTCCATTTACTCCTCACATGAAAATGGTCCTTTTGGCCGGCCCGATGAATGGCGACACGCACGTGCCGTGGAGATTCGGTAAAATGACCTGGAAGTTCAGATAGTGTTCTATGTAATGTGATGAAATATTCCTCAACTGTTTTGTGACTATTACACTTTATTTTTGTACCTTTATGTGACATTGTTCAGTATCTATACTTCACTGTCTGGAGGAATTATCATTTAGTTGACTTTTAAATGCTACTCTTTACACATTTACTATTAAGAAATCACCTTTTTACTTTTATTTCAACTCGTCATTGATTAAAACTAAAACAACAAAAAAAGAGGAAAAGAAACCTATCCAGACTAATTACTCACCCAGTTAAGGTGAATTTAATTGCAGCTGGGTATTAACTTAAAACAGCTACCATTCTGATACGCTATTGGCAAGTTGCACACAAACCATGTCACAGACCAGGCAGGACATCCATTCATTTCTGCCAGAACTCCTCTATGCTGTGTGTAGACAACCAGACAAGGGAAATTGTTATGGCTCCAATTCTCTTGTCTGGTTTTATCACCTGTTGCCTTCACAGATTCTTGCAGCTGCTGGATGTGCATTTTCAGTTTAATAAATTTATTAATAACATGCCTTTGAAGTCTGACTTTTGCACCATTACAATACCCACTTAATACTTTCACTCCATGAAACACGTCTACGCCCAGTAGTCCACATTTGGTTCCTTGATTTGACAGAATTGCACTAAAATTCATCCACAGCGAGAGGAGCCAGTTTAGGTGGCTTGAGCATCTAGTTAGGAAGATGCTTCCTGGACGCCTCCCTGGTGAGGTTTTCTGGGTTCATCCAACTGGGAGCAGACCTAAAGGAAGACCCAGGACATGCTGGAGGGACTGTCTCTTGGCTGGCCAGGGAACAACTTGGGGATTACTCCGGAGGAGCTGGCCCACGTGGCTGGGCCTCTCTGCTTAGGCTGCTGCCCCCAAGACCCGACTCCGGATAAGAGGCCGAAAATAGATGAAAGGATAAAAATCATTCTCAGTGGGCTGAAACTGGTAGTCTAGTGCATCTCAAATGTGTCAACATAACCTTTTAAAATAACATTATAGTCATTACAGCCCTTCAAAGGTTTTTAGAGAGGTGTTGCAGAGCTGTGGTCCTGACTAGCAGTCTTTACTTTCATTCTGTAAGAATTGAAACAATACTTGTTTACTTTCACTCAAGGAAAAAGCTAGAATTTTTTTTTTATCATTTGAGAAACGCATTAGCTCCCACCGTAGTGCAGAGCTGTTCTTTCCGAGATCTCGATACTTCTACACAAGGGTCTATAAACCCCAGTATCTATAATACTACTGAGTAATGAATGCCTTTGACCTCGTCTCATCTTGAAAGTGACGTTAAGATCACATGTGAATGACGTTCAATACGTGCAAAGCTCACAAAGGTAAAGTATTGTGAATTAGATAATATGCAAAAGAAAAACTCCCCAAATTTTTTTTGAAATATATCATGTCTGTCTAAAACGACTAATAATATCCATTCACCCACAATATCTGTTAAACAGCAGGTCATTAAAAAGTCTGCACAGATACAGAAAGAGAACATTTTATTTTCCCCAAATAGTTTACACAACATTCAGAACATTTTCAAGTGATCATTAGTTATTTTGTTATTACAAAAAGTAGACACCCACTTGTACAAACCAGTACTTTATCCCTGGAGGTCATCAGGAAAATAACGCCAAATGGCAGAATTGGTCAATCCAGCATTAAAGTAGATTATTATTGTCCATCTATTTCAAGGAAATAGGAATGTTGTTGAATATTCACACTCAAACCGTCCTATTGAGTCGTAGGAAAAGTACAAATACACATAAGAAGGGTTTGATAACTGGTTATACCAGCAACAAGATGCCCTCTTTGAAAAATACACTCAACGTAGCTCAAATGGAGTCATCTAATAGCAGCCAAGCAAAGGGCCCTGGTCTTTACAGGTTTTGGTTTACACTTTACACGCACAGGTTTTACAAGCTTTTTGTCTCAAATGCATTAATCTGCATTAATGTGCATAACTTGACTAACGATGTGCTTTAAAACTGATTGATGATTTTTTTTAAGCACAGCTGTCTTGTGTTCTACGTTGCATTGACATGATTTGTATGACCTCTGAGGGTACATGCACGTACGGTTGGTCCTGAACATTGATAGTAAGGGTGCACAGAGGGAGAGGAATTGAATTCAAGGCACATTTAGTCACATAAGGCTGGTACTTCATATTCTGGTATTTAAAGAGAATCAACACTTTTAGACGTTCAGATAAATTCTCTGAATGTAGGAAAGCTAAAACCGTTGTTCCCAAAAGGTTGACTTTGGTTCTGGAAGTTTTGAGGAGAAACTATACCCCTTTCTAATCTTTTTGATTTACTTGTTGGAGCCAGAGGTTAACAGCAGCTCCACATAAATTCTGCAATGAGGGAAGAAGCTGCTTGACCTTTTGCTCAAAGGCTTATTTATCACAAATGCAACCTCCATCCCACTCTTCCCAGTCTTTATGCTGAGCTGACCGTCTCCTGGTTGTGCAGACTATGTGGAAACTTTGTCCAACGTAAACCTCAACAAGGAAAATAAATTAAAAACACCCAAAATGACAAACCATCACTTGGGTCAGTTTGTTTGTGATTAAATGAATGCATCTTTGCCCCTTTTGTCACAACTGGTGGAATTCACTTCCGTCGGCTGATGTTGGGATAGTGAAGAACCGCAGTCACTTAGATCCTGCAGCTGTCGTAAGAATGCCAACAGGTCTGGCTGTGCTTAGAAACCACATTCATATGCTGGAGTACAAAAAGGTCATTTTAGAGTTTCAAAAGTTTGTCTTTTGCGTTTTTAAATAACTACAGGAAAAAGCATCAAAAGGCATTAGGATACTATCTTTCTGTGCATTTTGTTAGAAAATGGACAGTTCTGACAGTTTGAAAGCAGCGACAGTACAGTTGAAGGGAAAAGGAGGTTTCTGTAGTTTTTTTTTTCTAGACATTTTCATCTATGACTGAGGCAGCGACGTCTGAAAAAGGAGTGTTTTAGTGCTCTTCCAGCCAGGAAGGGCTCTCCCCACCTGGCATTTTCAACTTGATGTGGAACTGCTTGAGTGTCTGTTCCAGCTGCTCCTGGTTTCCAGCGTAGTACGCAGCGATGGCATTGTGGAACAACATCAGCTGGTTATGCAATACCTTCACCTGTGGGAGCAGAGTAATCAAAATGAACAAGCTGGTCTGAGATCAGATGTGTTTTCACTGATGCAGAAAGGTTATTCTACCTTATTCTCCTCCAGGAACTTCAGCTTGACTGAAACGTTGTTTCTCATTCTTTCATATTTCTCGCGGTGGATCTGGAACTGTTGCTGCGATTGCTCGATCTTTGGCATGGTGTTGCCGTCACGCGGCCCCAGATTCAGCTCCTCCAAATCCGTACGGTACGCATCATACTCAACCCTAGGGGATTGGAAGACAGTATGAAGATGTGTTTTGAACAAAGAAAGAAAGAAAAAAACCTAACTTTAAACAAACACGTTACCTGGCCACTTCATACTGTTTGATGTTAATCATGGTGTCTTCGATCGTTTTGTCCACCAGTGTGTTAACGCTAGAGATGAAGAAGTTGATGGCCGCCAGCAGTGTGTCTCCATTTTTGGACAAAAGCTTTTGGGTCTCAGCGTTGTAGCCGAATTCCTCCTGCAGAAAACAAGTGTAACTGTTTTAATGTCCCCAAACCATGAGATGTAATAAAACGTAGCTAAATCAGCATGAATTAGAAAAGTTACATTAGAGGGAACGGCCATATTCAAGTCAACATTAGAGGGAACGGCCATATTCAAGTCAACCTTGTCAACACTGACATGTAAATCAGTCTAACCAAAGCCATCCTTGTTGCTTGATTCTAACATCCCTGGATTTATAAAACTATAAATCTGGACTCACATGAAGTTCTGGTGACTTGAGGCTGAGGTCAGCGAAGGCGTCGCCCAGCTGCCTCTGCGTCTGCATTATCAGGGACAGCTGAGTGGCCAGCATCTGGGCCAGCTTGATCACGTTCTGGTACTTCCTCTTGTTGTCACGGAGCAGATCGATCTGTGCCTCTAGCTCCAGGTCCACGGTCCTCGAGCCCCGACCCAGCTTCTCCGACAGGATCTGCCTGGTACACTGCCGTTTAGACAGTTTAAACAATTTAAGTTCATTTGAACAAGTGGAGCACTTTTACTGTAGTCAGCAAAGATTAGAGACAATCAGTCAAGCCAAAACAAGAGATGGCACATTTTTTAAATTGTAGCTGTCAAATAGGGCTGCACAAAATATCGACAAATTATCGTCATTGCGATAACAGGACGTGCGATAGGCCCATCGCAAAGCACGTCAAAAACAGCGATAAATGTTTGGTTCAAACATTTCCATCGGTGTCATACATCAGCTTTTTGTAAACCAGCTCTGTTTTTTAATGCGGAAGTATTATTTGACCAATCAAATGTAGCCCTTCTGATATGCGGCCAATCAGATGGGTTCGTTCACGTAATACGACCGCCCTATACATAGACCCTTAGGATGGGTGGAACACAACACCCGAACTGAGTTAGCGGCGCCGTTCCCTTGTTCATCATGCTGGCTCAGATTAACGAACGCACTTTGTGCTGAGGTTTCTGGAATCAGCGCTGCTTTCAAACGTGAGCGTGAGTCCACTCGGTGTCGTTAAGCAGCTGATAATAACCGGGCTGACTCCGACACGTGCCGGTGAACCAACCCACCGTTAGCCCCAGGCTCCGGTTAGCTTCCGGCTAAAAGGCTACAGCACTCTCCTCCCAGTCCCACCCTGCTAAAGAGGGCCTGGAAAAGTTCCCCCACACATCAAAGTGATTTTTCATTTATGAGCTTTTATTACCTTGTTAATCAGGATAGTTGATTTGCTGCTGCACATAAACTGTCAGTCAGAAGCTCTGCTAGCCGGTTATCTTAAGAGAAGCTAGTTCAATTTGTTAGCTTGTTACCAGAATCATAGTTGCAGTTTCATCATCTGAGCTGCTTTTTAAGATCTAGGTAAACTTGTTCAATTTGGGGTTAAAAACAAACATTTTCACATATTTTCCATGTAGTTTTTTGCCAGTTCCTCTTCTGAAAGGTAGACAATTGTTTTTCTCTTTCCCTCAGAAAATCTTAATGTTCTCCTAGTTTGGCCAACACAGTTCACTTCCCAATTACAGCAACAGCCTTATATCATAACCACATAAGTGGAGAAAATGCTCAGTAGCAATGAGAGAATTTGCTGTTGCATTTAAGTGATGTTAACTATTATTTAACATTTAAAATTATTTTCAGATATTTTTTATTTATTCTAAAACTCTGGTAAAGGATGTTTTTCTGTATTTGGAGCATCAGAAAAAGTTTTATGGTGGATGTGATTGTTGGGTATTTTTATAATTGTACCTTTTTGAGGCCTAAAAGCTGCCCATTTTGTGTTATTGACACTTCATGAATCTCTGTGTTTGCCAACTGTGGCTGTTCATGAAAGGTTGAGCAAGGATGTTGATTGTGGGTTTCCAACTGAAAACTGTACCTCTGTAACCTGAGAAGGCCCCGCCTTCTCCTCCATCCTTTGTGAATAAAGCCCCTGACGAACTGCGAGCACATGGGAGTGACGGGGGAAAAGCCTCGGAGGAGGTTTTTCCCTGCGTTAACTCTCCTTTATTTTGGGGGCTCAGGGTAAAATGTCTTCCTTGTTGTCATGTGTGTTATTTCAGGTTCCAGGGTTATTACCCCACATTTAATTACCTAACATTTTTCGTGGAGGATGCGGGCATGTAGAGCTGGTGAGCTGAAGGCTTTCCCCAGGAGCAGAGGGGGCCTGGTTAGCTCCATGGAGGGGGTTTCTGCGCCCAGCTCTCGCATGACGATTCATGGACATTACAAATAATCTCTCTCTCTGTGTGTGTGTGTCGTCCTTTAAGGTAATATGGGATAAATCTAAAATTACCTATCAGTGATGTTATAAAGTCACTGAGAAACTGCATGCATGCAGTTTGTTGTTTTGCTGCTAATACAGTAGCAGGTGCAGCTGCACATTATTGCAATAAAAATGTTATGTTGTAATGGAATTCATGCATTAGTTTTTGTTTGCTTTGAACCCAGAGCAGACGTCACACGCCAGACGACATCAACACTGCATACTTTAGTATTTGTTCATTTATCGTGAGTAATATCGATATCGCAATATTAAGCACTGTTATCGAATATCGCAGGTTTTCCTAATATCGTGCAGCCCTACTGTCAAGTCTCTCTGGGTCAACTTTGTAATTAACTGAGACAAGATGAAAAGTGGGAATAAAGCACAGAGGAAAAAAGGAACGGTAGAGGACGGATATAAAAAGAAATCAGGGACAGAGGGGTTTACTTTGTACGTGTTGATGCTCCACTTTCTCACTAGATCCAGTTTTTCCATGGCTGGGTTCTTCAGGTCGTCTGACAGGACCACGGCTCCGCTCTTTGGATCGGCTGTTGTTGAGTCTGGAGACAGTCATCCACTCAATAAGTGATTTTACATTGAAAAGACTACAAAAATAGAACAAAAATTACTTTAAAAGCGAGCATTCAGCCCAAACGTGAAAGTTAAGAAGCAGAATGAAAACATTTACATCCCGACTGTGAAAGTTAGGAACAAGAAGCTCCACGGCGTTCAGAACATAGAAGATTAGCAAACATCTAATATTAGTAGCAGATCAACAATGGGGTGATTGTTCTGGTTCATGGTGACGTTTGGTTGTTTAACCTGGCAGGTTTACCAGTAAACAGAAATCTTACCATATTTTCATAAATAAACAGTAGACAGGTGCGACTTCCTGCTGCAGATAAGAGCGTTTTGCCTGATGCTCGCAAATTTGTGTTTTGAGTTTGATAAATAGTGAGTGTTGCGATTTTAACAAAAGTTGGGCAAATTGAATTGTGAAGTGGGTAAAATCCCACAAAAATAAAATAAAGCGTTGAATATTATTATTATTATTATTGTATTAGGATGGTTAGAAGACCTAAATTTCAAACCAGTAAAAATGATGCGTTACGAAGCTTGGTTGGGCAAGTACCCATGTGTTCCAGAGATACTTCCTGTACAGCCTCCGCTTGAACTAATGATGTTCACATCTTAGAGGCTTGATGAGCTAACAGCTAGTGTGAATGCAGCCAAGACCAGATGGTTTTGCAGCCATCTTAAAATTAATCCAATTTTAACTATAAAATGTAGAATTAGTTGAATAATTAAAACAACTTTTAATTTGTGGTTCACTCATTAAATTAATACATTTGCAGAGGTCTCTAGTAGGAACGAATGCCTTATAAGTCGTACTCTGGGGACACAAAGCTCTGGCGCACCATTTTCAGGAAATAGAAGTGAGCCACATCACCGCTGAGCTTCAGACAGCAGGATTAGGAGTCTTATTCCATTTTTGGTTCTTTTTTAAACACAAATAAGGTTTTTCTTTACCTTGCTGACGTTTCGTTTGCGGCTGCAAACATCCTCAGAGCTGACGCTGAAGATGATGGCCGTTTATAGGAGTCTTATTTCCTGATATTTGGACATCTTGCCTCTGACTGGATAACAGCAATGCAACTCTACCACTGACTGCTTTGCAACGTTGATGTTTTGTCTCCACGATTAACACAAGCCTGGAGGAATTCTGCTGTGTGGAGGAGTTGCTAATGCCAACGGTTAACTTCTACTAGCAGAGACGTGCAAACTAAAATGTGACAGTGTGTAGCTCTGTCAGGCTTTTCTAATCCTAGAGTTTCACCATTTATTTTCTATCAGAAGCTAATGCAGGTATGTATGTATAACTCAAGAAATCAGAAATAATAATGGGAAAAAATGTTTTCAGTGAACCACACTTTTAAGGCTCTGTTAGGATTTTTACTTTTTCCTGCAAGTAAAAACAAATCGGCAGCAAGAAACCTCACCATGTCCAACAGTAAAGCCTTTTTCTTCCTAAGCCAAACATTTAGACAGAAAGACCAGATACCTCGACACATAGATCACAGAGTGGCCATTTTTTATGCATCAGTCAGACACACAAATAAATACAGGAAAGCCCAAAAACAAGCAGCAAAGACTTGATGATTGATGCACAGCCTGTAGAAGCAAGGAGCAGATACAACAAATGTAAAAGCAAGGGAGCAAAGATTGTAGTTAATTTAGAGCAGAGTAGTGGTTTAGTGGTGTCCGATTCATACGCCATCACCCCCGGTACCTGCGTCAGCCTGGCCATCACTGGAGGAGCGCGCCAGGCGAATAGCAACGGCTGAGCTGGGAGCTACAGGTGTCACTGTAGACACTGGCACGCTCACTGACCCTGGGAGATATTCACAGTTATCACTCGTTAGTGTTTGTGTTTTCCTCCAGTCATAAAAGTAGAACTGGGAATTTCCCACTGAGGTCAACCCAACATGTGTTTCCTCTCCCTCATTATACTGAACATGTTATGAACAAAAGCCTACTTCAACCAGCAAAGACAACATGGAAAATAGCCATGGCAACACTGGAGTGAGCAGGTCTCAACCGCTCTCGGCTCTAGATGGAGATCCTTCATTTGCATTTGGATGATGAAAGAGAATAAAGGGTCCAACCAGGAGATCAGAGCAAACTCATTACATCCTAATCAATTACTGCAATAACCAATTCAATTCAAACTCTTTCATTAAACTCCAAACGTGGCAAGCTGGGGAACACAAGCAAGACAAAAAAAAAAAAAAAAAAAAAAAAAGAGGCTATAGACAGGACACAAAAATGCTGGAACAAAATCAAATCATGTGACCAGCTGATGCTGCTGGACGGGTCGATGAGCTGCAGCTACAGGACACTCAAAGGGGAGAAAATGGTGAGCAGAGTAATCAGGAGCAACAAGAGGGCGGGTTCCTACCTTTGTATGGTCCTGACTCAACGATGCCCTCTGCCGTTGAAGCATAGCTGCTGGACATGACACGAGACTCTGTCGAGTCCCGGGGTCCAGGGCAAATGAAGTGAGCATCCTATTGAAGAAACACAAGTTTTTAAAATCCCACTGATGCTTTTGAATCTCAGCTTCCCCAGGCTGAGTTCAAACCTAAACAGTTGAGAGATTTAGCTCAGATGGAAGCGTTCAGCTAGAGCCGAGATCAAAATAATCCCACCACAGAACAGGCTCTTCTCAAACATTATTACTTTGCTTAACAAATGCTTCTGTAAAGTGGAACGTTTCCTTAGATGGGGAACAAATGTTCGCTGGTTCAAGCATCTTTATAGAATTATTCTACTAAAATCACCATCTTCCTTTAGATTCCTCAGATATGATCAGGAAGGCTTTACCCTCTGGAAGACACTCTCTGGGCTCTGATCCAGCTCTCCATTGCTGGTGACGGGGATCTCAGCGGCTGAGCTCCTGTGGGAATCCTCAGCCATTGTGCTCTCCTGCAGGGAGGAGAAACACCAAAGAGGAGTTATTGGAAGGAAATTCAGGACAGGACACAAAAGCTGTGGGCTGCCATCTTGTGGACACTGCTGAAGAAAAACAGCTTCAATCCAAAACAAAATCAGACATGATCCACTAAGATTGTAATCAGAGTTTTAAAAAGTAATCCAGTCAGAATCGACGACCATAAATCAGTCCTGCTGTGTTGACACTGTCCAGGTTACTCTCATCAGGACATCATGTTTATGGAACATACCACTTTTATCATCACAGGTCTCATTTAAACATCTGATGTCACAAAAAACAAACAAATAAATAAAAGTCAGCTGAAATCCTTTTACAATCTGTATGAGAACGGAGCCTACAGTGATGTCACAACCAGGTTTTTCAGTTCAACATCAGCTGATGACCATTTAACCTGATCATGATGGATATTGGCCATTTCTGAGCCAGTGTTGTATTTCATCATCAAAGTGTTGATTCAAAAGCCCATGATGACTGCTGCTAAAGGGTGGAGTGAGCTCAGGAGCCAAACAAGACTTAGGATTGAGTGAGAACATTGGAACACATCAGCTAGACTGTAGGTTTCAGCTGAACCAGCTCTGCACTCATGTAGAACAGGGTGGAGACAGCATGCGTCATACGGAATGATGTCATGTTAAACAGCTGCCTGCAGCTGGAGGATGTGACCTTGAACTTGGGATGCTGACCTAATCTGTGAGCTAATCCATAAAGACTACCTATAGACTGCTACAAAAGTATAACAAGAAGGGAAAAAATAATAACTTTATTCAGTAGATCTGAACCCTTCTTCACTCACAAACATTGCCCTCCAGTCTAAATAATGCAGACTGCTCCCAGATAAGCAGGTAAGAGAATCCGGCTCTCATCACCTGTTGGACTGGTTTCACTTCCACAGCAAAATGGAAAGTTTATTCCTGTATTTATATCAGTTACACACAGTACTGTGTTACAGAAAGCATCTTTAATTTTTTTTACTAAGGATGCTCGATACTGGCTTTTTTACCGATATCAGTTATATCCCGATATTGTCCAACTCTTAATTTCGGAAAATGATCTATGCACTTCTTCTTAAGCAGAGCACGACGTCGCCTCGGCTCGTTCACGGCCGAGCCAGACTGAGCTCGATAACATTGACCCAGCACAGCCACTGGGTCGTTGGAGCTGCCCCGTGACTGCCTGATGGAAAACCAGGGGGGTTTCATCAGACTCGTAGTTTCTTGTTTATGCTGGGGACCACCTGTATTTTACCGCTCCCTCCTGCAGTCTCCCCCTATTAACATTTAAAATGATTCTGTAAATTCCGTGTATCAATAGAAAAATCTCTGCCTCTGCAGTAAATGTAGTCTCCAAATAATAAATAAGAGGTGCATTCATCTGTGTATCTCCTTTGATCCGCATTAGTGATATTTTCAGCACCAGAACAGTGAAGCAAAGAAAGATTCCTGAGTTTGTTAGTAATTTTATTTATTAGGTGCATCTGACCCATTCTATTTTTCTCTGAAATGAGATCAAATCAGTGCTTCTATGGGTCGTCTCCACTCTGCACTAGAAAATTTTACTTTGTTTAGAGACGTGTCATGCATCTATTACTGCAGTTAACAAAGGGCTAGACAGGAAATCAAACACAGTTTTAGTGTGAAATCTCTGGTAATTTAATTGCAGCCATGCAATTTCATATATATGAAGCTTACGTGTGACCTAACGTCTTATTTACTCACAGCATCATTCCAGAAGTGCAGCGGTGTGTTTTAATGGCTTTATTCCAAGCAGTGTAGAGGAACAACAACATATGACATCAAACAGCGATATAAAATATGATTTCCTTCTTTTTGGTTTAATGGCGGATTGCATAAACAAATCATAATGTTTGAAGTCTCAAGTGTGATCTCGCAAGGAGGTTGGCCGAAGTCTCGAGGGAATTTGTGATCGCGCGAACGGAGCAAGAAGCCGCTTCGCTGCTGACTCTCCCGGTGTGCACTTGAGTGCTGTGATTGTCACGAGTAAACCTTTCTGCTGCAGTTCCATGCCGCCTTTACTTCCAGTGTGCAGCAGGTATTAAACAATGTTTATGAATAGTGAAACTTTTTAAACCACTTGTTACAAATTAGTAAATGCATTGTCCTCATGGGCTTCCATAGAAGGAAACGTTGCAACTAATATGGTGTCGCCCAGAGACTTGGACCTGCTTCCATGTACTTAAGACCCAATTTTCATGGTTATGTTACAAAGCTGCCAAAATTTTTCAACAACTGGACATCATTTAATTCATTTTCAATAACATTTCGTTGGATATTTCCAGAAATTAATGGTAAAAACTACACATTGTCTCTTTAATTAGTCTGAATCACATTTTCCCCCCAAGATAATCTTGACAAACGCTCTGTGATTATTTTAGGCCAAAAATAAATTAATGTTTACTACGTGCGTAGCTCATATAAAGGCTAGCAGTTAGCTAGGGGGTGGCACATAAATGGTTCCGCTCCTACCTATCCATCCGTTCCATCTCTGTCCAAATTGGTGAATGTGCATCCTCCTGTCTTCCACAGCCTTGGGGGGTGCCACAAGGTTCCGTTCTCGGGCAATTACTTTTTTCTATCTACCTTCTGCCTTTGGGCAAAATCCTGAATCAGCATGGCCTGAGCTATCACATTTACGCTGATGACTGCCAATTATATGTAGCAATGGATGAGAAGAACGTGGGTTCGCGATTGGCTGCATGTTTAGATGACGTGAAGGGCTGGCTGGCATCCAACTTCTTAAAGTTAAATGAAAGGAAGACTGAGTCTATTGTTTTTGACCCCCGCAACCACCATGGCTCTCACCCGGTTTGTGACCCTCAACCCCAAACAGTGTGTGACAAGTCTCGCTGTAAAGCTGGATGCTGAACTCACAATGGCCCCACAGAAAAACTCAGATGAGAGGTCTTGCTTTTATCAGCTTCGTCGCCTTACTCGCCTCAGTCAAATCTTGAAACTGAGGCATTTGTCAGTCATCCATGCCTTCATTACCTCTCGCCTGGACTATGCAAACGCCCTCCTAGTTGGTGTTCCGGTCTCTGCCCTGAATCGGCTGCAAGTTGTCCAGAACGCTGCTGCAAGGTTCTTGACAAATAAGCACAGACGTAGCCATATTACCCCGATTATGTCAAATCTTCATGGGCTCCCTGTCATTTTCAGAGTACAATTTAAGTTATTGACTTTTGTATTTGAAACACTCAACGACCTGGCCCCTCCCTATTTCTCTGACCTGCTCACTCCCCATGTACCCACGTTGAAGACGGCTGACCTCCTGCCGCTGTGCATGCCCCAGATGCGATACAAATCGTGGGGTGAACGAGCATTTGTTTATGCTGCCCCAAAGCTCTGGAACTCGTTGCCCATTGGAGCTCGGCAGGCTCCATCACTGGCGGTTTTTAAATCTCGTTTAAAGACCCACTTTTACGATTTGGCTTTTAGACAGTGACTCATTTTAGTGTTTTATTGTTTTATTGTTTTAATGTGTTCTTAGTATTCCTCATGTTTTATCTGCTTTTGACTGGTATTTTTATCTTCTATTTTAGTTCCTTAGATTGGTCGTGTTGAGTTTTAGCCTGTGCAGCACTTTGGGCAGCTCCTATGCTGCGTTTTAAACGTGCTACATAAATAACCTCTGGTATGGCTTTTTCAGTTTACGGATCATCAATAAAAAGCACAAGAAAAATGTTGCCGTTTTTGCTGGAATCACGTTGAAGCCTGGAAATAAATGTAAAAGTAATGCACATGCAGGCAAAACAAAGAGCTAAAACAAGAGTGAACATCTGCATGGTCTACACTAGTTTGAGAGAGCTCAATGAGGCTAGGAAATCACAGACTGATGGTGACCTGGCTTTTTTGCTACTGGACTTGTAAGTAAAATTTTCATCCAGCAGTGTGGATTTTTTTATTTTGTGGCTTGTTTAGTATCATTTGGCTTGCGTTAGCTTTAGCTCATTGTTAGCGCTAGCTACAGCAGGCTGCGGTTACGACAGTTGTAATTCTGCTTTCAACCAGTAGGAAGGAGAAGCGGGAAACTTAAGTGTTGGTCTAAAACACACACATTAAACAATAAGAACATGTTTTCTTTTTTTAGATGGGGTCAGTATTAACTTGTTTAGCTCTGATATGATACAGAAACGTTGCTGTGAACGTGGTCAGGATACTTAAGGGGACAAAGAATGTAGTTTATTAGTAATCTAAAACACTGCTTTGAATCTCGATACAAGCCATTCTAAACCCACAAAATCAGCCTGAGCGGTTTACCCCTCCCACTTGGCCAGGACATGAACATGCTAATGAGCTGCTTGCTGATTGGTTGGTTTAAACCAGAAGGCTTCAGACACTGGAGACTGCAGATTGGAGGACGAAGGGCTCCACATTGTGACATTTTTATGAGAGGTTTCTTAGAAAAGACGTTTTTCTCTTGCATTTTTAAACTTTCTAATTTACACAAACAGTAGGTCACACACGGCTTTGATGTTTTGGCATGCTACTTTTGACCACCCAAGCTGTCTTTATTCACAAACAAGAAAATGTTGGTTTAGATGGTTTGTCCCCTTTAACAGGATGAAGTCTGAATAAAAAAGCTGCTTACTAAAAGAGGAAGATTGTGATCCGATCATGTGCGTCACTTCAATTCAACAGGAAATTTCTAGAATATTTTAGAGAGAAAGTTGGAGGAACTTACTACATAAAGCAGAACAATGATCATTTCTACTCTACACTACACTGAGTGCTTATTCAGCTACAGTTCTAAATCTTGTAAAGCCACTATGAAAGGTTTTGACTCAGAAGAAAGTTTGGTTTTCTTCTGTGAAGCTTTTTCAAATCCCTAGGCCCTAATTCATCAAATGTATATTCCTTCCTATGAACAAAATTAAGAATGTTCGTACAAACGGTCAAAATCCTGATTTATTTAACATGCGGTCAGTTCGTACACATGTTCCTCTGCAGTCTCTTGATAAATCCCACCTGTGCGTACCTAGGTGCTCGTGTCCGTTCACCGTTATTTACATACAGGAACACCCTCAATTAACCATATTTGATCACACTACATCTTCAGGTCATGAGGGGAATCCCTGCGTTCTTCATGGGGGAAAGAAAAAAAAATCATTGACAGCATGATCGAGGCACCAGCTGATCTGATTGATCCCGGTGGCTGCCTGGTGGGATCTGTGTCCCTGTAAACTGCTATTTTTAGCACATTTTTAGGTCCGACGTGTTGCTACCAGACGTACGGTGTGAGCTGAAACTGAGTGCTACAAATGAAAACGTCACAGTGTCCGCAGAATATATAACGGACTTCCGAGTCCGCTTGCAGAAGTAACATTTACATGTGGATGTTTCCTGGTCAGGTGCTGCAGCATGGAGGATGTGGTGGTGTGTTTGGCTAAATCCATTTTACAGTATTTACACTGGAGTACGTTTTCCGCCTTACGACGTGAAAAATGGTCCCACACCTTTGACATTTTTTTTCTTTTTCGCACTCCACCGAGGTTCATGTTGTCCGCCATGGCTTAAGAGAAAGTTAAGTTACATTCGCTACTCACGTGTGCATTCAGTGCAGTGTGTCTGCGCGTCACTTATTTCGGTCCGGGTGAAACATGACCCCGGGCGATTGCAAAGCCATGAATTAATGAAACATGAATTAAAGAAGCCTCGAGGCAGAGAATTTGACTCGAGGATTTTTTGTTCTGGAATTATTCGAGGTACTCGAGGAATCGTTTCAGCCCTACACATCACCCCCTCACCTTCTCAAACAGATAATGGAAACATGATTGAAAAAATATCGGTTGTTAATATCGGCTCAGTTTTATTTATTGGACCAATACCGATATGTTAAAAAATGACTAACATTGGCCGATACCGATATTAATGCAGATATATCGTGCAATCCTAGTTCTCGTAGTTGTCAATAATTGGATATGGATTGGAATCGGGTCTAGGTGGTTTGTTTGCCGCTTCACAAAGGGTTCCAAATCACAGCATAGCTCCCAAAGCATCTCCTTTATGGAGATCAGTGCGCTCACGGAGGACCTCCAGAGTGCACGCTCTGCCAAATCCTCCAATGACACAGATCAGCCATGATATGTCAGATTCCCATTGGTCATATGAGTATTTTTAATGATTTTAGCAACAATTGTGTGACATAGCTGGTTTTCCACCAAAATAATTGAGTAAAAATATTAATGGATTAGGAACGTGTGGACGACTGAGACCTTCAGTACTGCAGTTCCCCCATTCTACCACTAGATGCTGTTCATATGCATGGTATGAGTTTTTCTTATACGTAGAAATATTTACACACATGAGTACAAAATAATGAATACCACACAATGCGTAATTTGGGTACTACGCAGATCTGTGCACAAGTATGGCTGGTGTTAATAAACAACAGAATCATACAAAAATCAGGAAATTTAAAATGAACCCAACAGCCACGGGTACAAAAGCTTTACTTGCTGCATCGCATGACTGCTGCTGCTGCATAAATACTTAAAGGCCAAAGGACACCTGTATGCAGGCAAGACAGAACACAAAGATCTACCTGTCTGACAGATAAAACAGACCTGATGAGCTACTCAGACATCAGCTTTAAACAGACCATTTGGTAAAAGCATCCTTCTGCTTCCACCTACACAAAAACTATGAAGGTGCAACACGTGTGTTCATACATGGGCTGGTTTTAAGGCATTCAAAGGGTTGTGGTAACAGAACCACTGTTTGTCACTCAGTGGTTTTAATGCCTTAACACAATCCAAAAACCAGCAGCACAAGAAACTCTGCTCTTACTCTGCCTTGAGCGAAGACCTCCAGTCTAACTGGTTAGGAGCTACACAAATGCACCTCATTAAAGGCGAGCGTTTAAGGAAATTTCTTGGGTTACAAATAAATCAGTGTTTAGTAGAGAAGGTTGTTCTTGTGGTTCGTCTCTAAAATACATTAACAAATGGGGTGTGTATTGGCTAGAATCTGGTGACACAATACTTATCACAATACAGGAGAGACGATACGATACGCATCACGATACGGGGAGACGATACGATACGCATCACGATACAGGATACAGGAGAGACAATATGATATGTTGTTACACTAAAGGCCAGACGTTTTGTATTTTTTAAGACTGAAAGGGAAAACTCAGCCCAGACACTTCCAAGACACATCCAGTGTCATTGCGAGATCATGTTGTTACGTCAGAATGAAGGTGGTAAAAACTGCTGCCACCTAGCAGTCGGGCGGTCGAACTTCACCCCACAAAAGAAATACAAAGAAATGTTTGCATACAAATCCTCAATAACAAAATCAACAGACTACTTTTAAATATCAACTCAGAATCATAATGTGAAATATTGCGACATTTCAGTGTATTCATTTTTCATAGCGTTTACCCTTAGAATCTGTGGTTATCGCTAAAACCAATAAATTAATTAACCCCATGATAAATTATTGAGTCCAATAATTTCCTTTTGCATGGCTTTTTTTTTTCCTTGTGTCTCGCTTTTTCTACCCAAAAAGAATAGATGACAGCAGACTTGACTCAGGTGCATATCGGTCTCGCACGGCTGTCTTGAACTTCCCAACAACCCTAAATGACTGGGTTGATTAATCAACAAACAAAATACAAAACGGCAATGCTGGTGCATACTCACAGATGGTGCAATGTACCTGATTTCAAAGGAGATCCTGCCCTTTGATATGTTGAAATTTTTACCAATTGAATTTACAAGGTTCCATTTTATTTATCGTCTTTGATTAGTTTTATTTCAGATTTTTAGAATATCTTCCAGTTCCACAAAAGTACTCCAGAAATAAATGTTCTTTGATAATGTGCACTTGCATTATTATGCCATTATCTTTACATTTGTTGAAAATGGCCTCCAAACAACACTTTCTTATCCCAAACTTTCTGGAACAATCACCTAGTTAAATGTTATCGCGACAGGTCGATCTGTGGTATTTTTGCTCAAGGTTATCACACTATCAAAATCTTGTGCTTGCTGCACCAACACTATCCGTGCCATCCAGCTAAGTTAATATTCCAAAACCTAACATGCATGAAACTGACAAAGATCACTGGGTGATAACAGGATCTCTGAGCCAAACCGATCCAGCTCATTATGTGCAGACAGTAAGCGGGGCAGCTTGTTAAACAGATTTAACCTCCTGGAGTACTTGCAATAGTCAAGTGGCTGTAAATTAATCAGGCACGTGAAGAGACAAGTTGGAGTTTGTGATTCCCAACAGTTCAGTATCCTGGATACGGGCCAGTCAGCAATGGGAGGGATGGATGATAACAATGAGCTTCCTGTTCACCTTTAGGAGTCAGCAATAAGGAACTCGGAAGACGAGCATCGTGTTACACAATACAGACACTAAACTAATCTGATAACTGGGTAGCATTTTATGTGTAATAATAGTAATGACATTAAAAACAGTCGGTTTTATTTTCCTGGGATGTGACTGTGACAGACTGTGAATCAACACCCTGAATGTGGGAATACCGAAAAGACAGAGGTCCAAATCTCTAACATGTGACTGAGGCAAAAACTGTTGGAGTTGTGTGTGTGTGTGTGTGCGTGCGTGCGTGCGTGCGTGCGTGCGTGCGTGCGTGCGTGCGTGTGTGTGTGTGTGTGTGTGTGTGTGTGTGTGTGTGCGTGTGTGTGTGTGTGTGTGCGTGCGTGTGTGTGTGTGTGCGTGTGTGTGCGCGCGCGCGCGCGCAGCGCACGGTTAAAGAGGGAACTCCTCACAATAACAAAATGCATTCATGTTACACAACAAAAAACAGCACAGAGAAATATGCATCAGCAGTATGCAAGAATGCGAAAAAATCTAAAAGGTCAAGTCGTTTTAGCTAAAACAATGCCACCAGGTTCACCATCAAGACTAGCTTGTCTTGTTTTCTCTAGCAAAGCATTCTGAATCAGAAGACCAACCACAGCCCGGGCCACACCGTATGTTTTTCCAACTGTTGCAAAGGACAGCTTTGTGTCACTGAGGAGTCTGGAGAGGTGGCACGCTGTACGGCCCAAGATTTCACTGAGTTAAACTGTACGACTCACTCTAGACGAACATGCTAACGTCACGGGAATACTCGCCGTAAGCATCCGTCACTAAACCTGACAGATACCCAAATCAACAACGGTGAAGAGAGAACAGAGAACATTTCCTTAGACACAGAACCAAACTCCAAAAAAGGAGTGGTCCACATGTCCTCCATTGTTGCTAATGCTATTCTTGCTAGTCTTTCACATCACTCCCTTGGTGTATTGTCATTGCTTGACGGCAGACCGGAGTCATAGACTTTTCTGACACTGTCTGAAGACCGTTGGAGGCTGAATGTTTGAGATTGCTCAATAGGCTGTTGGTGGGCCAGTCCCAGACCTGTAAACCTTCCTCACGTTCGCCGTTAGTTTGTTTTTCACGACTCTGTTCTCATTTTTCACATACATACATTTGTCTAGGGTGGCTGAAAAATGCAGTGTGGCCCGAGTTAAAGACTAAAGACACAAAAGTCCAAATCTATGCCTCAAGCTCATGTCAACCCAACATGCTGATTACACAGGAAGTAGACCGCCACCATGCCAGCAGACCAACACAGAGAAAAGTCAAATAAGCAAAAGCAGAGGGGAAGTGCTGAAGAGGGAGCTGATCTTCAACATGAACGTAAAAATATCACCTTTGCATCCGAGGGAGATTCTCTGTTTCCCACGGGTGTTTCAGCAGCACGGAGTCTGGCCTCCATCCCACCACTGCCTACCCTCCCAGAGCCAACACCGTGAGCCCCCACCAACACCTGCACATCCTTCTCATCGTCTTCATTGCTGTTAATATCAACATCGTACAGAACATCTGCTCTGTCCTCTCCGCCCGCGCTACTGTCTACACTCTTTGGAGTCGGATCCTCACTCAAACTCTCCTTTGCTTTGTCAGCCTCCTCACATTCTTGCTGAGGGTCCTCGGCTGAGGTCTTCCCCGACTCAGCCTCAAGACTAACTTCAGACATACCTGAAAAAAGACAGACAGCAGATCGTGAACAGGTCCTACCGCGCTGCTTTTGAAGAGAAAAACAGAAATGCAACGCCGGCGCATCGCTGACCTAAGGGTGTGATTGGATGTAAAACTATTGACTTGATCAGTTTGGGATAGGTGTGACAGAGAAGTAGTTACATGTAAAGGGGATTCCAGGATGTAAATAGACTTCAATTCCTACATTAAAAATAAATTCCCTTAATCAATGTGGATTTGGAATTGTTTGGCAAAAAGAAAAAAAGGAAAACAATAGATGCAGGTGCATGGTACAAAAACTTAGACACACCTATGCAAAACATTCAAGTACTTCCTTTTTATGCAAAAGTGTGATGAATTCCAGTAAAAGACACAATTCTGACGCCTGGAGAAAAAGAGTCTGATTTAATGTCAGGGTTTGGGCCAGAAAAATGTCTCATAGCAAATTAAAGCAAAGTTTTCTTGAGGGAAACACCTGAATGGTTCGCCCAAACTGTTCTGTGCTGATGTGTGTTTATAAAGAAGGAACTTTGCTGTTTAAAAACTGTGTGAAAACAGGAATTTGGATATTAAATCAGCAGGTATGGGCAGTTGTAGTGAGATACAAACTCATTTGTGTGGCTGAACTACTGAACATTATCATCATTATTTGTTCTGACCCAACTTCCACCACCTTTATTCATACCTAAAGTTCAAAAACACAAATTTTTAGGTGAAATCACAGCAATTACAACTTTATCAGAGACCTTCAATGATTTATTTCCCCTTCAAGCTACTACTAATGTTTGAGGTTGCTTGTTTGAACTGGTTTTAACCTCTGAGCATTAATAATCTGTATGGTTTCAAGCATTTCCATTAAATGGTGCATTCACTTGCCTCTTCGTGTGAGTGAAGGACGTCAAACATTAGCAATGAAACGTGATGGGCTTATATTCTAGTCCCCGTGTGTGTTTGATTTATTGATACATCTAAAGTGAAATTCTTTCTCCTTCCTGTGTACAGCTTCGCACCCCGGAAAGAACATTTGACAGGGATTGGCATCTCACCTGTTGCAGCCCAGTCACGTGACTTACCAAAGCATCAAGAGGTGACAAATAAATAACTTTTAGAGCCAAGAACTATGTCAGAAAGACGTTAAATGCTAGAATAACGCTAACTAGACATCTACAAAACAGCTCCAGTGAGTCGGTTTGAAATCGTTCACTTGTTAGAATTACCATGAACGCCTCACAACTCTGATTAGCTTAACGCAACAGCTCAGGAGCAGACAGCACCGAACGATACAAGTAGATGGCATCCATTAAAACATTTTAACTAGATAAAAACATCAAATCGACGTGTTCGATAATCATAAGCTGATGCAAGAGAATGACGAGGCTCAAAAGTTTGGAGAATTACCTGTCTGCGGATGTGGCTAACTAGTTGCAGTGGATCCTCAGCGGTTCCGCTGCGCCACACAATGTGTTTTCAGGAAATGTGGGTAATGCAAACGTTGCATAGATACACTACTAAACTGTTATCAGTGATCCTTAACGCCCTATTTGCCCTATAACCACACAGAAGCAATGTTAGGATCCCGGAAATACTTACTCGGTGCCTATGTGAGGTCACGGCTAATCAAATGAAGAATCTTTTTTGCTTGAAGCGTGCTCCCCCTGCTGTATGACATAAATATTGCACTTTATCCGGATTTCTTTTGCTGCTACGCCACTTTACGTTCCGTTAGCGCCACCGTGTGGTCCGGCACTTATAGATGCTCCGGCTCTTTTAAGAGAACCGGTTCTTACGGCACGGCTCTCAAATGAACCGGCTCTTTCAGCTCCCAAACGGCTCCTCACAAACTGCGTGAACTGAGTTACTAATCTACAATTAACAGCATATCAAATGTTAATTATTTAAATAACTTATTTTATTCAAAAATGAAGCAGAGTACTACAAAAACACATTTAAATGACAGAAACAAACTGCAAGTAAAATATTTTTTAATTGTAAACTATTAGAGCCTGTTGGATATATTTGTTTACCTTTTGCATATTCCACACTCTGCCTTTTAATTGTCAGTGGAGTTAAAATGTGTCCACATTTTTTAGCTGTCCTGTTTTCTCTCAATTCCTCTCTTTTCTGTAGCACTTTGTTTTTTTTTCACACATTTGTCTCCACCAATGTTTACAGGGCCCATCAGTTACATAATTATCATCCCAGGCAATGTGCGTGCCATTCAAACCCCCATCCGCTAGGGGCTGGCACCAGAAATGAGCAAATCCTGTTGACTCCCATGTTAAAAATGCCTATTTCGCAGCAGAATTTATTTATTTATTTATTTATTTATTTATTTATTTATTTGAAACAGGAAACAACAGAATTCCAATAAAATATAAAAGTACAATTCTTTGAATAAAGTCACACCTCCAACAAGTTCTTACATTAGAACAAAGAAACACCTTAATGTGTCAGATAAATTAAGTCAAATTTTACATTTCATAGCAGAAATAAACATGTTTCCAGACTGGTTAAAACATTTTTTATGTTTAATATATCGACATTCATGACAACTCTGAGGGGGGGTGATTGTTTCTGCAACTCTTCTGTTTAAGTGTGATTAAAAGCTTAAAATTCAGAATAATTAACGAGCATCAGAGCCACATGACTTCAGAGCTAGCTCTGGGGAAAGGCCTCAGCCTCACCTTAATAGATGTTGGGCCATTTCAACTCTCTGAATTTTAGTTTTGTCTGTGTTTGTGTTATGATGTTAATCATGGAATTGTTTGGACACAGAGGGTAAGCTGTGGTTAACTGTACTAACAGACCCAAGCAGTGTCTGCTTCGTTTTTATCAGTAAGTAAAATATTATTCCTGTTCTATATTTTGCTGGTTGAATGGGGGGAAATGCTGTGTCATTTAACTGCTTGGTCAAACATGTTAGTGGGGCTGCATAAGAAATTTGAGTGGGTGCCCAGCTTCTCTTTTCTTCTGCCGGGGAACAGTTGCTAGAGCAGCCGGCTGGCTGTTCCTGATGTCAGCCTCAGAAATCAACAGGCGACTAGCATGACTACAGCCTCGCACAGGAGGCAGTCACCTGTGCGGGGGCTACCCCAGTTCCCGGAGCCCTTCTTGGGTTAGCTAAGTAAGCTAGTCGCTCCACTGGTTCATTTGTTCCAACCCTGTTCCAAACGTAACAGACCCACCGTCAGCTCCAATTCTTTTCCCACATTTGGTTTGTCTGGGCGTGACGAGATGTGTGGCACGGTCAAAATGGCGGTGCTGGGAACCTCCCATTTACAAACAAACCCTTATAATTCATGTCTATGGAAATTAAATATCCATTATATGTGACAATGGTGCAATCCCTCTTTCTCTCTCACAGCAATCTGCACTCCCCCTTCTGGTCTCACTGCAGAGACCACTGACGGTGTGTGGGCGTGTGCCATGCATGCACATTTTGCCATTTTTTAGTGGCCAGTTAGCCTGTGGATACCGTCTGTAAGTCACTCCGGCTCCTCCAACGAGTCGGGTCTGAGAACCGTTTGTTCATGACCAACACATCACTCTGGCATGTGGACATTTAAACCAATACAAAGGGGTGTGGAAGAGTCTTCCTGTCAATCAATCAATCAATCAATCAATCAACCAGATCATGAAATGCGGAAAGACACATTAATTAATTCAATTATTTTTTTCAGTTTTATCAACGAATTTATTTATTTACATTTTTGTGTTCACATTTATTTATTTCCTCATTTTCTAATTTGGCAGATAGAGCCCTCCATAGGCGTTGGCTTGTTTCTCTAAAAGGCGTACACTAGAGTGGTGTACAAACAATTTTAAATAAACACTTTCACACGTTTTCTGATGACAACCTTTGGTGGTCATGTCTCCATAAAGTATTAGTGCAACTGGGGATTTAGAAATGTAACAAAAAGTGTTTAAAAATCTCAACGAATGAACTTTTTCATGTAAATTTGTTTTACTAAACAAAATGACATGTTATATTACTTGTGTTTTTGTTAAAACTATATAATTTTCACAAAATGTATCTTTACAGAATGTACTCTTTGTCTGTAGTTTTTTTTAAGGATAATACTGTCAAAAGAGTAAGTTGATCCGGACAAAAAGTGAAAGTTAATATTTTGATCCATTCTTTGCTTTCATTTCAGTTCAACATATTACTCAATTTCCCAGAAGCACCCGGGCGGTGCACGAACGTTTACGTAATTACGCAAGCTGTGCCTAGTAGTCCGGCTACAGAAGCCATATTGAAATCTATGTTGTCGGCTTGCACTTTGATGGGACTCACTGTCCGTCGTTTTGAGAGTCTTTAAATCACTCTCCTGATTTTAAACCTGGGTGATTTTGTCAGACATTGCGCTGAAGACTTTGCCAGCATTGGAAGGCAAGTTGTCTCTCCTCTTTAGTGGAAAAAATGAGTCCTACTGATGCTAAACGGGGGGCTAAACGCAGGAAGAACAAGCGGGGCGGTGGCAGTAGCTGCAGTGCTGTCTGCAACACCAGCAGTGGCAAGGCCGGGGTAGCGCAGGCCTTAGGAGCAGCAACACCTGCATCGGTCGTCAGCTTTTTAACATCTGGAAGTACAGGCAACGGGAATATGGGGTCCACCACAGGACTGAACGGAGAGGTAAGAATGTTAACAAGGGGATGTCAGAACTACAGTGATATAAGCGAAATCTTTGATTTGGGCCCAAACAGATGCGAGGAAATGTAGACAGTTATACAACCAAATAGAAAACTACGCCTAATTGAAATGTTGTGATCAGTGAGTTTGGGAGTGAAGGGTTTGTTGCTAACTAGTATAGCGACACGCACTTGGCTTTACTATGTTGTGACAAATCGCCGTTAACACGAAGCTAACTTTGTTGGCCGAGCATGAGTTCGCACCATTTAAATACCGGAACATGTAGGAGGTTGCATCAAGCATAGCATCAACATCGTAGATAGATCTTAGATAAAACATACGCCGCCTTCGACCACATGGCTAATACAAACAAAATATAACTGTTACATTTCAAGATCGAAATGTTGTCTAAAATTAAGTAATAAAGACGCAAAATGCAGTGAATGTAATGAATGTCATGCTGTGCATAAACCAGAATGTACCCTTGATTTTCTTTTTTATTTATTTATATGTAACCAACTACTAAAGATCGTAAACCTGCCCCACGTATAAAAATTGTTCCAATAAATACGCATTCCCTTTCCTTGAGCTTTCTTTGCCGCCGGTCATCACGGCCAGCCGAGTTTGGTGCCGGTGAACTTTAAAGGAGCGGATCCACTGGCTATATTCTTAAGCTAAAGTTGAGAGCTCCTTGCTCCATCAAGAACAATTTGAACGCCTGGAAGCATTATTTTTGAGCCAGTACAGTCCGTGTAGGTGGAGATTACGTAGGTCACGCCAAGATTAATCGGGTGAATCATTAGGATCAGCACAGGTGCCTAACAAGCTCCTGTTTCTTAGCTAGCTACTAATCAATGTTCGCTTATCGTGCTAGCAACTTGAGCTCCGTCCGGTCTCTGATATGTTTTTATTTGCTGGACGTTTTTGTAACAACGTTTAAAATAAGTTTTGATTGGTTTGAACCAGCTCCTGATATCCAATGAAGCTTTTAACAAAGTCGTAAATCAGTAAGCTAACATCGTAACTCAGACAGTGTTCGGATAGCAGAGCTAACGTGGTTCGGTTTTAGCTTTAGCTGGAACAGATATAAGGAATTTATTCAACATTTATGTATTTGTCCTGCGTGGCAATAAACTGCGCCCAATATATTGTGTTGCTGACACTCGAATAGTGTGTTTATGGTAATGATGCACATAGATCAGGTTTAAATGAGTAGGTTGCTACTTCCAACTGCAAAAAGCTGCTTTAAAAAGGTTTTTGTGACCTAACAGGTTTCAGAACATTTTTTAGTAGCACAAGTGTGACCCTGTACCTTATATTGATGTGTACAGACTCGATTTACTGACAGCCCTGGTCCTCAAGTGCCTCTATCCAGAATATTTTAGTTCTGTCCCTGCTCCCAACACCTGATTCAGCAGTTCAAATAAAAAGATCAGTGCCAAAAGAGCCACTCTAATGAGCTTGACTTTTTTAAAATTTTACTGGCTGAAATGAACCAGCTACAAAGCTATGAATTTTCTCTACACAATGAATTGTTTGTGTCCCTCAGGTCAAAGCCAACAACAACAACAACAACGTTACTCCACAGTTTAAGGAAGGACCAGTAAATGTTGACTTCTCCGGAGTCCTTCAGGTAAATTTAGCTTGATGTTTAGAATTCAGGGAAAATATAAAATATTTAAATCTAAAACTGCTTACAGTGAACACATTGTGGAGAGGCTAAAGCTGTTTAACTTTGGATTACTGCTCAATGTGTGCCTGTGAACGCTGGTGAAATGTTTAGGAGATGTTCTGGTGGACAGTCTATGCAGTGAGACATTTTTCAAATCAACCTCACTGTAAAAAATATAATTCATAATACTGCATATTATTTAGAAGCTTGCATCTGGGTTACGACTAGAGGTCGACTGATATTTGACATTTTTATATATTGTCATTGACCGTTATACCTACTTAGCAAAGGAAATTTAAAATCAGGACCAGGAACATGCCCAGGCAGCCTGGTGCTGTGTATTTAAAGGAGTCACCCCCGTTACTACATATCTGCATCATATCATGGTCTTTTAGGCCATAAAAATTAGGGATGCACAATATATCGGCATCAGTATCCGTATCGGCTGCTGTTAGTCATTTTTAACATATTGGCTATTGGCCAATAGATAAAAGTAGGCCGATATTAACAACCAATATTTTTTCTATCTAGTTTCCATTTGTTTATCTGTTTCAGAGGGTGACGGGGGTGGGGTGGGGGGTATTTATAGTCACGTGACTGTGATTGTAATCATCTCAGAAGTTTAATTGTGTGTTGTGAGTACATAATACCGTAAATTCAGCTTTAATAATTTTCATTCTACACTAAATCCGACTTTAGAAGCATTAATATCTGTATATCGGTATCAGCCATAACAGTGATATTATTATGGGATATTGGCCCAAAATTTTCACATCGATGCAATCACTAATAAAAAATAATTTGTATTGGAAAAATAATATAAAAAGTGCGTTTCTGACCCTGTTTTGGAAAGGACGTGTTTTCTCACAAGAGCACACACAATGTTTCGGCTGTGCTGGATGCGTCATTTGGAATCGTAGGATGTCCAAGGGCGATCCGGCCTTTCTCGCCTCTGATTGGCTAGAAGGGCCCTACTACGATTGTCGATTTCATTTAGCAGCAAACTGTCTTCCCTTGCTAAGTGTAGGCTGTTCTCCTGCCACCGCCACCAACAGAAAGCTGATTTGGGGAGTTTTGTAAAAAAGAATGTGAACTTATAATCAGAGTCGAGGAAGCCGGGACCTACCTTGGATATTAGGGCTGCAACAACGAATCAATACATTTGACTTCAATGAATGATTTATGTAACAGTCGATGCATGCAACTCATCTGTATGCGGCTGCTGATCAGAGCGAGAGACATGTATGTTGCACATGCGATGAAAAAAAACTGTGCGAAAAAGTACTTTTAGGTGTAGCACTCGTGTGACTTCTCAAGTTACTTTTTCCCCCAGAACTTTATTGAGCAAAGGTAAGTTGCTTGTTATTGTGTAAAGAAGATGCTTTCTACTGGCTCACAATGTGCTCTAGGTGCTGTGGAGCAAAACAGAGGAACCAGCAAAGACACAAAGGCAGAAACAGTCCAAAGTTTGGGATCAAAAGTGCAACTACGGGCAGATTAGCTAATGCAAATGGGTAACAGTCTCACGATCAAGCGGGGTTCCGAAAAAACACGATGGTCGTGAAACTAAGAACATCTAAACTCTACAAGCGGAAGAAAAGTCCCCACCATCCTGTTTATGCTTAGCTGTCTGCAGCGCTATGGAGCAGAACCGCTGCAGTCAGGTTGCTGCTTTGAGTCTGCTCAACACAGCTGCAGGAGTATGACAAGCCACCACAGCATGTAATTCACAAATAGGGCTGCAACAAACGATTATTTGGATAATCGATTAATCGGATGGGGTCTCGACACAATTAATCGATTAATCGGATTACATAGGTACATTTTTTAAAACTGCTAGGGAAACGTTATTTTTCTCCTTCCTTCACTTTATTAAACACAACATTATTAGAAAACAGTTCAATAGCAGAAAAACAACATGCCATCACCTAAATTGTCTTATAAGGTGTATAGAAAGAGACCCTAAGCTACACCTATCTGTGACCTAAAATGCTTGGTCCAAGTTAAACAGCTTAAAGAGCAAGTCAACCCCTACCAGAGTCTAACTCCACTCCCGCTTCATGTTTGAAAAATGCAACACATGCTGTTGCCTGGCAGACCGAGAGGGCGGAGCCGCTAACAAATACACACACACTCAGGCTCACGACAGCACTGTGACATCATAATGTACCAGTTTACATCATAGCATACTTCTTAGCCAATAGCGGTGGCAGATTTAAATTAAAATACAGTGCAGAGTTTTTACCTGACAACGGCACAACACTGCCAGTTTTAGGCAGAATATTTAAATTTTAACTAAGATGCACTGAAGTGCCAAATTATTGACGACACGTGTCTGCAGCACGATTAGACACTCGTTTATTTAGTTTATCAGCAAAAAATGTTTATTTGGGGGTGACTTGCTCTTTAAGGGCAATTCTCATCTGTTTTGTTTGATCTCATCTGTAGACATTTATTATAACTGGGGATGTCAAACAACTAATTTTTAAATGTAATTAAACATAGGCTGTGAATTAATCAAAATTAATCACTATTTCCAAAAATGACTGAAAAATACCAAATAAAACAAAAGTAAATGAATGCCATCTTCCTTGTGATGATGCCCTGGGCAACTGCCATAAAGTCACATCAAGAAATGCTGCTGATCATTCCAATGATCCCAAATAGACTCACATTAGGCCACATGAAAGCAACTGAACCCAAAAATATATTAACCAGTATATAACTGCACTCTCACACAACACGCCTGCAGCAACAGTTAGGATTCCTCCCTCCCTTTTAAAAGCGTTTTCGCTTCTGAGGACATTGTGGTTGTAAAGCCACATGTTAGTAGTCTGGCCCCGGTGTGATCAACCAGTTTCTGCGGGAATGTGACGGCGGAACCGGCTCGCAGCGGCGCGAGCCCCCCCCCCGCCTATCTAATAGCGTCGCGCTTACAGTTTTATAGACTTTTTTTTACGAGCTTAGGGCATGTCTAGCCTGTGTAATAATCCGGGGCTTGGGTGAATCACTTTTGAAAAGTTTTTAACTTACCCGGACACCGAGCTCTCTCCTTCCTCGCTGATGATTCTGACATGCTTGCGTTTAAGACGCTGCATCATCACCGTAGTATCCCCGTGCCATGCTAAGTCTGACCTACAAACGTTGCAGGTAACGAATGTCTTCGCCTGATTTAACTGAAAATGCTCCCAAACTTTAGAAGTTTTTACTTTTTTGGGGTCTCGCTGCTTCTGCCATGTTCCTCTTACAAACACCTGCCGGCTCTCCACCGGTCTGCGTGCAACGGCGGGCAGGAGGGGAGGGGGCTTTTGGAAGAGTTGCGCAACACAACGAATCGATGACGCAATTCGTTGCCAACGCTTTTAGTAATCGATTTTCATCGAATTTATCGATTCGTTGTTGCAGCCCTATTCACAAACACGTCTATCTGTGAACATAATTTAAATTGGATCATTGCTTACCCGTACATAAAAGATATGTCACCATTACATGTTTTAGCAGTAGAAATGAAATGTTATTAGCATTTCCAGTAGCTTACTACTGAACATGTTTAGGAAATGCATACAATTTTACTGATCATAGTTTAATTATATATATATATATATATATATATATATATATATATATATAATTGTTTTTAGGTGACAGTATGTTGTTTTGCGCTCTATTGAACTGTTTTCTAATCATGTTTTATTGTTAAAGTAAGGGAGGGAAAAAAGTTTCTCTAGCAGTTTTTACATTTTCTCATTTAGTCCGATTAATCGAGTCGAGACCCCGCCCATGATTCATCGATGATCCAAATAATTTGTTGAAGCCATATTGGACATAAGATTCCAAGTCACACGTCCTGCCATGGTTGGAAAATAGTTCCAAAATGAAAGTTGAACCAATATATTTTCTAGCTGTGAATTTAATGTCTTTTGGCATTTCTAATTTGGATGTTTAATAATTAAAATTTGGGCGTCTTATTACTGTGTTACTGTAAAAAAATCTATCATTACTGTTTAAAACAATCGGATTGCCATTTCATATGTCCCAGCCTAGATTCAAACCCGGGTCCTCTGTGTGTAGGTTGGATGTCTTGCTAGTGGAGCTATCGCTATGAACCCTGTTGTTAACTGAAAATATTTCTGTCACCAAAAATGGCTTAAACAGCAAACATTTGGACGCTTGATGACAGCTGAAATGACGTCAGTCTGATAAAAGTTTGATATTCTGAAATACGAACTGTTATTACTATAATTTTAAAGACGACGAGTTCCAGCATGAAAGTTAAAACGTTTTTTCTGCCTGTGAGTCTTCTACAGCCTTGCCGTGGGACCAGTGTTTGTCGGGTTGGTTTGATTTTGGTAAAACAATCACATTTATGTGTAGAGTTTGGCTGTCAACAACTAAGCAGCTCACCTGTGAAACTCGCTTTGACCTTTTCCGTTCTCCCGTTTTCAGTAATGCTGGCGCTCGACTGAATTTGAGGGGAAGCGGAGCAGTGCGTTCTATAGCGGCGTTGCTCAGCGCTGTCCATGTATGGTACTGCCTTTATGATGACTTTAGGGCCAGAACTCAGGGTCTTGGTTTGGAGTGTGCATGCTCGTGGGGTGCATGTGGGCTGGTCAAAGAAAATAAATGATCCAATGTTAAATATCAGCTTCCTGCCCAGTGAAAAATCATTAGGAAGCCATCATATACAGTCAGGTCCATAAATATTGGGACATTGACACAATGCTATCATATTTGGCTCTATACACCACCACAACGGATATCAAATGAAACGAACAAGATGTGCTTTAACTGCAGACTGTCAGCTTTTATTTGAGGTATTTACATCCAAGTCAGGTGAACGGTGTAGGAATTACAACAGTTTCATATGTGCCTCCCACTTGTTAAGGGACCAAAAGTAATGGGACAGAATAAGAACCATAAATCAAACTTATACATTTCAATACTTGGTTGCAAATCATTTGCAGTCATTTACAGCCTGAAGTCTGGAACACATAGACATCACCAGACGTTGGGTTTCATCCCTGGTGATGCTCTGCCAGGCCTCTACTGTACTGCAACAGTCTTCAGGTCCTGCTTGTTCCTGGGGCGTTTTCCCTTCACTTTTGTCTTCAGCAAGTGAAATGCATGCTCAGTGGGATTCAGGTCAGGTGATTGACTTGGCCATTGCAAAACAGTCCACTTCTTTCCCTTCAGAAGCTCTTTGGTTGCTTTTGCAGTATGCTTTGGGTCATTGTCCATCTGCACTGTGGAGCGCTGCCCAATGGGTTCTGAGGCATTTGGCTGAATATGAGCAGATAATATATCCCGAAACACTTCAGAATTCATCGTGCTGCTTTTGTCAGCAGTCACATCATCAATAAATACAAGACAACCAGTTCCACTGGCAGCCATACATGCCCACGCCATGACACTTCCAGCACCATGCTTCACAGATCAGGTGGTATGCTTAGGATCACGAGCAGTTCCTTTCCGTCTCCATACTCGTCTCTTCCCATCACTCTGGTACAAGTTGGTCTTGGTCTCAGCTGTCCGTAGGATGTAGTTCCAGAACTGTGAAGGCTTTTTTAGATGTTGTTTGGCAAACTAATCTGGCCTTCCTGTTTTTGGGGCTCACCAATGGTTTACGTCTTGTGGTGAACCCTCTGTATTCACACTGGTGGAGTCTTCTCTTGGTTGTTGACTTTGACACAGACACACCTACCGCCTGGAGAGTGTTCTAGATCTGGCCAACTGTTGTGAAGGGTGTTTTCTTCACCAGGGAAAGGATTCTTCGGTCATCCACCACAGTTGTTTTCCGTGGTCTTCCGGGTCTTTTGGTGTTGCTGAGCTCACCGGTGCGTTCCTTCTTTTTGAGAATGTTCCAAACTGTTGTTTAGGCCACGCCTACTGTTTTTGCTATCTCTCTGATAGGTTTCTTTTGTTTTTTCAGCCTAATGATGGCTTGCTTCACTGATAGTGACAGCTCTTTGGATCTCATCTTGACAGTTGACAGCAACAGATTCCAAATGCAAATAGCACACTAGAAATGAACTCTGGACCTTTTATCTGCTCAGTGTAATTGGGATAATGAGGGAATAACACACACCTGGCCATGGAACAGCTGAGAAGCCAATTGTCCCATTACTTTTGGTCCCTTAACAAGTGGGAGGCACATATGAAACTGTTGTAATTCCTACACCGTTCACCTGACTTGGATGTAAATACCCTCAAATAAAAGCTGACGGTCTGCAGTTAAAGCACATCTTGTTCGTTTCATTTGATATCCGTTGTGGTGTACAGAGCCAAAAATGATAGCATTGTGTCCATATCCCAATATTTATGGACCTGACTGTACACTTTTTTCAAGTGAAATTTCAGGTGATGACTCCTTTAAGTGTGTATAAGTGCACCTTTCCAAAAAGTCCCATTTTGATCCTGATTGTGGTTCATTATACCGTTTAAAAAAGGAAAATATGTTGTATGTTGTTTTATTAAGAAAACGTATGCCCGGAAAACGCCAGATGCAGAAGCGCGATGATGCGTCGCCGAGCACCGTGGAACGACGAGCGCATCTTTTCAGTGCCCTTGTTAACCTACGCTGTTGGAAGCACCACGAAGGCTCGCGCTGTACAGCGATCGCTGCGGCGTGAGCCGTCAGTGAGCCACGTCAATTCTGGCTGGAAGTCAAACCAAAACAGAAGAGGCAGGCTGGTAGATTTAACAAAATATAGACAAATTTCAAAATAAAACACTACGATTGATAAATGTGATAATTTCTGTGTATCTAAACAGACTAGAGGGATAAACATAAATATACACACACATGTTTGCCACACACATGTTTGCCACACACACACACACACACACACACACACACACACACACACACACACACACACACACACACACAGCAAGGGCACGGTGGTGGGGGTTGGAAAACAGTAGGTGTGAGAAGAAGCGCTGGTTAGAAATTCTCGCCTGATGTGAACAGAGGAGCAACGGGCAGTGTGCGAATCTTATGGGCGATCCGTTTGGCTGCGCTTTGCAGCTGGTGTGTTCCAGTGTAACTCGGAAAAAGTCGGTTTGATTTCTGCAGTAAATTAAAAGATATGGAAAAGAAGGAAAATTTGACCAGATTCCTGGTTTATGCAGGGTATCCGTGGGTCCTTAAAAAGTCTTAAAAAGTCTTAAATTTACTTTTCCAAATTTAAGGCCTTGAAAATCCTTAAAAATGACAAATAATCCTTAAATCCAGTTTCCAAAGGTCTTAAATTACCAAAGACCCAATAAACAAGATTATTTTATTTCTATAAAAATTTTCGTGAATTTCTAGTTAGTGTTCAGCATTTTTTGTGTACGATGTTGGCGTAAGCGGAACCGTACACATTCAGTTGGTTGTAAAAGGGGGCTGTTTTTAGATGAGCACATTAGCTGGTTAAGCTAGTGGGAGCTTGCGCCATGGGAAGTGCAAGTTTAATGGTAACTGGATGGCTAATCCCACGTTCACGACGTGGTTAGCACCGGTTCCAGGCAATAGCTGGAAATTATAGCTTAAATTTAATTTTAAAAATAGCTTAAATTTGGTCAAAGTGGCCTTAAAAAGGTCTTAAAAAGTCTTAAATTTGGCTCCCTTAAACCTGCAGATACCCTGTTTATTGATCTTCTTCTTGATGCTCTGACGATGATTTTTCCACACTTTACTTCTACTTAAGCTGTTATTAACACACCACATGAATCTGTTAGCCGTGTGTGTGTGGTTGTTTTATTTAAACCCGATATTCCTCAGTTTGCTTCCGTCTGTAGTTTATTACACCACCATTCTGTTGACTGGAGAGAAGCTTTAGTCTTCCTAATGGTGTGTGACTGTGCTGTTGACACAGCTGGATGTACCTGCTGTGCAGCAGGTCCCACAAGATGGTGAGCTGATTAATCATAGAAATTGTTTAAAATTGTCAAAGACTTTAGAAAATAACAGTAAAAATGTAGTTTGATGTTTAGCTGAAATCAAATGTTTTATCCTAATTTCTTCTTCAGACTCCATTCACCTTCGGCCTGAACCAGCGGGCGCCCTGCACTGCTGGAGATCGCTGCCTCCTGTGCCGATGTGAGCGTAAAGACTGCGTGGTTCCTTCGGACACTGGCATCTCAGGCCAAAATGGTTCCACCCAGCCCGCCAACACCCCCAGTGCCCTCCAGCTCCCTCTGTGGGTCTGCTCAGACTGTAGACTCACGGTAGAGAAGGAGGACAGACGCAGCACCCTGGAGCAGTCGCTAGGGGTGAGTCGGGGTGTGATGTTGTCTCATCACTGACGTCACATAGCTGCTGTTACAGCGTGCCAGCTTCAGTGTTTGTGTCTTGTTTTTTTCGTCAGTAGCAGATGTTTACAGTTGTGGGTCCTTCATCTAGAAACAAACAAATGATGCTGTGTTTCTGTAGTGCTGGGATTCACATCACCTGCAGGTTACTCTACAAAGGTTGGCAGCGATCCGTCCTCTAGGCACAAACGGGCCATGACTCGTGCTGAAAACTGATTCTCCTTATTAAAGCATCAGCCAGCATGCAGGAATGCTGAGGGTCCAGCCATAAAACAGTAGCAGCACTTCTTATTATTCCTCCATTATGTGAGCTTCTTATTGGCTCCATTAGTTTGTGTCGAGTCTTTGTAATGGGCCTAATTTTATCTGATGATGAGGACCAGGCATTAAAACCACAAAAATAGTTAGAATCACAACATTTTCTCTTTTTATCAAGCAACGTATAAATGAGTTAATCTTTACAATAAGATGATAACAGGATTGATATGATTCAGTCAACAACACAAGCGTGACTGACATTCTCTTTTGGTTTTATCATGATTTAAATGTAAACTGTTTCTAAACTCATGTTTTTGGTGAACTGCCTTCAGAGTCAGGACTTTCTGATGCACATGCCTGTGGGCAATGGAAACCTGGCCCAGGAGGCCGCCACGGCAGACCGACTCAGCGCTGCTGCGCCTACGTTACCCATGCTCCCTGCTCCAGACCTCACCACGCCCATGCCTTCTGACACCGTGTGCAGCTGTGAAGCGTGCAATGAGAGACGGTCAGTAAAGTCTAAATATGCAGATGGAAGTTACGTTTGAGTAAGAATCAAGATAGGTTGGAAAAGATTGTTTTTTGATGTTTTTATTGATTATTATTATTTTTTAATTCACAGTGAATTCTCTGCTGAGTCAGAGAGAGAGTCGCAGCAGCTGCAGAACCACTGGTCAGAGGTCAGATATCTGGTCCGCTGCATCTACCGCCAGACAGGAACGCCGCTTGCAGACGACCAGGACCAGCCTCTGGAAAAGGAGAGAGAAGGCATGAAGGAACTGGTGGACAGGTAAAATCACCTCCTGTGTTTGTCCACTAGAGGTCTCTCTTGTGTCATGAAAGGGTCTTTTAAGACTGGAAACAAAAACTTTATATTCCAGATCAGTTTTACATCTTCATTTATTTTTTTATTATTTTGTTAGCATTTTTAAGCTTAAATGCGTTTTTCCCTCCTGTAGACTTTGTGTAAAAGATCCATATCAGCTCTATCAGCGGCTGGAGCAGCAGGCTCGAGAATACGTACTGGAAATGAAGATGCGTTTGCTGAAGCACCTTTCTGCCGGCTCCAAGACTGCAGGAGCTCCGGTTGCTGTGGCTGCAGCTCAGGGACCTCCTCAGGCCCACCAGTTCATCTCTCTGCTGCTGGAGGAGTACAGCGCCCTCTGTCAAGCCGCACGCACCATCAGCAGCTTCCTGCTCACCCTGGTTAGCTCACCTCCTGTATGTGTCAGACAATGCTGTGGCTAACTCGGTGTAGGATTATTGGATCACGCTGCTTTGTGTTCCAGGAGAACGAGCACCTCCAGAAATTCCAGGTGACGTGGGAGCTGCACAACAAGCACCTTTTTGAGAATCTGGTGTTCTCTGAACCGATCCTACACAACAGTTTACCAGCGCTAGTTGCACAGCTGAAGTAAGATGTTTGTGTTGTCCTCTTTGATTTATTTTTAAGTTAGTTGGCGACAATTAGCCATAACTGAAGGGCTCTAATTGTTGTGGGTGTAACTATGTCTGTTTTTTGACCTGCATCTTTGAAACGATGTAGATTTGATTGAGTTGAAGCTTACTGTTGAGAATTGAGATCATGATGGCTTGAGGCTCACCAGGTGCTTGTGTTGACCAAACAAACCTGTCTGATGAGGATCTTTTAGAGATTAAAACTTCCAACGATGAAACCCATTTGTGTCCAACCAAATTGTTGTTCCTAAAGTTCATGCCTCTCCCCTCCCCTCCACAAACGCACACTTTTCAGACATGGCACAGCCTCTCATGATTCCTATAATGAAGACACGTACCAGACTCTGCTGGATCGCTACCAGAAGCTGGAGCAGGAAATGGCGTCGGTGGCGGCTGAGTGGCAGGAGTGTGAGAAGAGGATTGATGACTATGTTGATGAGCAGGTATACACACCCAATGTGAAATGTCAAAATGAAAGCAAGTCTGTTTGAAGGGTTAAAGGTGCAACAAGGAATAATTTTAGAGGGAAATAATCACAAAACAGTCTTAATGTCTCAATCATGTTGGAAAGCAGGTTACATCCAAACAGATTTTGTTCTCAGCCAGCTGGGGGTTGTCGGTTTTTCTGCTTTCAAAAAGGCCGAAGAGGAACGTAGTCTTTGTTTACCATCTGTCTCGCCTCCATACCGCCTGTGTTCAGAGCCAACCATGTGAGCCTGCACAGTTACCAAGCCTTCAGCACAACACTTGTGTCTGCATTTGTAATTCGCTGTCGGCCAGCAAAAAGCAGCAGTGTCGTGGACAGAATGTTAACCAATAAAAGGAGCGACCCAGAAGTTACTTCGTGTAGCCCTAAAGCCATCACGCGTAGGCGACAGGTTTGCAACCTACAATATGTCAGTAACTATTAGGTGGAGTTGACAAAATGAGCGAGATGTTCTCGCAGTTGTTACGCCACTTCTGTTTTCGAGGTCTTAAAATGCAATACCACGCTCTTCTTCTTTTGTTCTGATCTCAAAATGAACTGGCTGCAAATCTCTTCTAATGCTGCAGTGTTTGTTTTGTTTGTACTCTACATATCCGGCACTCTATTCCGTCTAAGTACTCTGCTGGGCTCCCTAGCAGAGTACTCCAGTACTACATGCAGTGCTGCAGCAAGACGCAGTCTGTGTCAGCGAGAGGTTTAAAAGCAAGTTTATTCTCAGCCAAAGAGGTCACGCTGTCTTTTTGTTGTACTTTAATATTGGTGAAGAAGACTAGAGGCTAACGTTGAGCTAACTTTGAGCCAACAATGCTAACGGCGAATTAGAAAAAGTTGTTGGCTTGGCCTGGTTTCTGCTTCTCTGTCTACGTGGGTACAGAGACAAGCAGCGCCATGGTATGTCGATGCACGGGCTCTGCGGCGGGCCCTCAGAGGGTGACGGGAGATGTGCCCAGTGTTTTAACGGTCTGCCAAAAGTGACAGAGACCTCAAGACTGATTGGTTAGAATGCTACTTCCTTACCGCCATTCACTCCTTCAATAAAAACAAGGAGATGTCTAGCGGCAGACAGATCGTCTTGTGGAAAAAGTCATGCGATATGACCGTTTACACACCCGTAGCAGAAGGAGTACAAAGATAAGCAGCAGACATTTTATTTTTAGAAGTAAAATGTGGAATAAACAAAATAAGAATCTGCACACTTCAATCTGCGATGTAGGAGTTTATTGGTCAAGCTTTCGGTCAGAGACCTTCATCAGGAGTAGAAGTAAGATGAGGGGAACGTGGGTTTAGAGGTGACGACCGCATGAAGGGGTGGAGGAGAATGAGGGACAGGTGTGTCCGTGTTGAAAAGGTTCTGATGTACATAAACACAATAAAAATACCCAATATTAAATGTGTCAGCTATTGTGGAGCTGAGATGTGACGCGATGGGGGCAGGATTCCCCTGGAAAAGCGCCGCGGCCCTGTTGGGGAACTGCTTTGTGACACTCCCCAGGCATCGGAGAAACGCAATTTCCTCGATGCGCGTGCGCGACTCCGCAGCCAAGCTGATAAAGTCTAAATCAGGCTTTAGACAGCGAAAAAGTTGCGGGTTCAAAACCTGGCTTTTCTGTGTGGAATTGGCAGGTCTCCCTATGCAGGCGTGAGTTTCCCCCACAGGGTTGACCCTACATGTTCCTCAGGTGTGAGTGGCTGTTTGTCTCTGTGATGGACCCGTGTGTCCTGTCTAGGATGTCCCACCAGCTCCCCAGGACTCTGAGGCAAAGCAGTTGAGGAAATGTGTGAGATCCGACAGGTCTTCATTGCTGTTTTTGTTTCACGTGCAGCTGCTGTTTAAGGTGGACGGTCCGAGTCTCAACAACCAAAGAGCAGAGCCACACAAGTCCTTGGTCAGCAAGAGCGTAAGTGTTTAAAACTGTCACAACGTTTGATGTTTCTCTTGTTTGTGAATACTCATCATATGCTCCTCTTAAGACCTTGAAGACGAAGCAGCGGATGCTGAAGGAGGACTGGGAGTTCTTTAAGCAGAGAAGATTTATAGAAGAACAGGTACAATAATGATGCAGTCACACTGGACTTAAACGTTACCTTCTAGGCTCCAGAGCCTTTTAATCTCCTCATCTTTTGTCTTTAGTTACCCAACAGTAAAAAGTCCTCCACCGGAGATGTCTTCACAGACACTATGAGGATGCTTTCATCTCGTCTTGGTATTCCAGACTGTCCAAACTGTAATTACAGAAGAAGGTGGGTCTTTTGAACATTTGCTGTCAGTAGTCATTCTGTCGTCTACGGTTCGGTTACATCCTGACAAACATACTCATGTCTTCACCTTTACATCAAATACAGTCCCTCCCCAAAGGTTCCAGTTGTTGTTCCTCCTTATTTACATGCACAGTAATAATTCTGCACTGACATCACTCGACTGAAGAAAGCATTGATGTGTATGTTGTAGGGATGCTCAACTAATCGAATTTTAATCACGATTACGATCTGAGTTTTGAACGATTATAAAAACAAAACAAGCCGATTATTTGCTCCTCCCACTTGCGCTGCCCCGAGTTGCAAATGAAGCACTTCTCCCACGGTGTTGCCAACTTGGCGACTTTGACGCTATTTCTAGCAGCTTCTCAGACCCCCTTCTTGACTTTTTAAATCTTAAAAGTACCTGGCGAACACCTCAGAAACATCTCTGGTAACCCTTAGCTACTTTCTGGATAACTGTCGTCGACATTTCCTGCAGGTTAGCTAAACACTCCGCCTGCGCTCCGGACCGTTCTTCAGGACATTAGGAAAGGGAATGATGTAGTGATGTGTCAGTCGCTAAAGAAACGGCTCTCGGAGCCGGCTCCTTGTTGGAGTAACCAGAGTGAGTGACACACACCACACCTGCGGACTCTGAGCCACTAAAAACGGCTAAATGTGCGCGTGCGGCACGCTTAACACACGTGCAGCTTGCCCCTGATTGCTGTGAGACCAAGTTGGGGGGTGGGGAGTGCAGCTGTGGTTAGGACAGTTATTACATTAACTGATGGACTTGTAAATAAATAGTTTATAAATAAGGTAGAAATAAGTTCCTCACGCTGATAAATAATAACTAATCTCTCTGAGGACACGGCGCTAGTGCACTCTCCTACAGCACCTTGACACGACTACATAAATGTTATGCAACATTTTGTGAACATCAATTTATTTGCATTTATTTGTTATAAATGCCACTGTATAATTCTTGCTGTCAGTATTTGCAAGATATTGGTATTTGGGTCTGTACTGGTTAGACTTACATGAGTTAAACCAAGGTCTATAGCCCTTGGGTCATAGACCATGAGCTATAAGTATATTGGTCTTTTTATACTGGGAATCAGGAGTTATTTTAGTGATCATCTTGTTTCTTATTTTTGTCCTGATTGTGCCCTGAGCAGTTTTATGACAGAATAAAAACAAATAAAATCAACATTAATTGAAAAATCGTCCTAAATAATTGAGATCTCTATTTCAGTCACCATAATCGTGATTATTATTTTTGCCATAATCGAGCAGCCCTACTATGCTGTAGTGTTGTCACACTTCTGGAAGGATTTGAATGCTGGATCTTTCTGGGCTGTAGTTTTTATTTATTTTGCTTTTAGTGGCTATATTTAGACTGAAGGTTGGGAACGTATACCAGTGTTAAATCTGCACCTAATTTGAATGTTCAGCCCTTGTGATGGACTTTATATGTGACCATGTCACATGGAGAAAGTCCTTCCATCCATTCTCTTCCGATTATCCAGAGTCAGGTTGTGGGGGCAGCAGCCTAAGCAGAGAGGCCCAGCCTTCCCTCTCCCCACCCACTTAGGCCAGCTCCTCCGGGGGAATTCCAAGGCGTTCCCTGGCCAACTGAGAGACATAGGTCCCCTCGGTGTGTCCTTGGTCTTCCTTTAGGTCCCCTCCCAGTGAAACATGCCTGGAAAACCTCACCAGGAGGCATCCTTTCCATATGCCAGAACCACCTCAACTGGCTCCTGTCATTGTTGAGGAGCAGCGGGTCTACTCCGAGCCCCTCCTGGATGACTGAGCTTCTCAACCTATCTCTAAGAGAGAGCCCAAACACCCTTCGGAGAGAACTCATTTCGGCCGACTGTATCCATAATGTTGTTCTTTCAGTCACTACTCAAAGCTCGTGACCATAGGTGAGGGTAGGAACGTAGATCAACTGGTAAATCGAGAGCTTCGCCTTCCGGCTCAGCTCTCTTCACCACCACAGATCCGTACAACGCCCGCATCACTGCAGACACAGCACCAGTCTTCCTATCGATCTCCCGCTCCATCGTTCCCTCACTCATGAACGAGACCCCGAGAACTTTAACTCCACATGGAGAAAGTGACCTAGCAAACAAATGGTGCACATCGCTGTTTATTCTCAAGATGTCTCAATTTACACATTTTATTCACGAGTTGGTTGCAAACCCCTCTTGAAGATGTCTCATATTTTTTGCTCTTTCGGTCTTGAGGAAAAATAAATCTTGCAACGACTCCGTAATTGTTTTTAGAGGACATTTGTCTTGTTAAAATGTCACCATCCTTGTTTGTTATTAAGTCAAGTCGTGTTTATTTATAGAGCACTTCAAAAATACAACGCTGTCGTCCAAAGTGCCGAACATATTAAAACCTAAGTTCATTTAAAATTACAACAGTAAAAACTATAAAACTCGTCAAATCCCAAACAGGAATAGATTATAAAGCAGCTGACTGTTAGTAGATAAGATAGAGTAGGAGACTAAGCAACAGCGTGCGTGACTAAAACCAGATGCAGAACGTCATAAAACCGAGACTAAAACACTCTGAGAGTATTAATATTTATTATTATTATTATTATATTTATTGTCTGGAGTTATTATGACAGTTTTCTGTGTATTTTGCTATTTTCCCTAAAGTTTTGCTTTCACTTATAAACTCGGTGGGATTTGCCTTGACTCGACCACAGGTGCACGTGTGATGACTGCAGTCTCTCCCACATCCTGACATGTGGCATCATGGACTCCCCTGTTGCTGAGGACCTCCACATGAAGCTGCCTGTTCAAGGAGAGCCCCCCCAGGACTACCTGACTGAGGTCCATCCTCCCAGTCTGTCCTCTGGCAGTTCAGCGTCTGCTTCCAACTCCAGTTCTCCCATCACAATACAGCAACACTCAAGACTGGTCCTGCCTGAAGGGGACACCAACACTTTGTACGTCAAACCTAAAACACCTTACTGACATGCTGACTGGCTTCATATTTAACCCCACCACTCATTTCTCTCTGCTTACAGCATTAGTGATGATGACGAAGTGCCGTCGTTGTCTAGTAAGTTTGGGAGCATGTACCCTTTGAACAGTTACGAGGACAACGGTGTGATGGCTGCCGTGTACGGACTTCACAACAACGTGAACAGGGAAGGCGCCAACACGACACTGAAGGCCGGGGTGAGTTATGGTAGCTGGACCGTACCAGTCATGATATTTATACAAATTTTCAGGGTGAACGTTCATGTCCACGTCCAGGGTCCAGAAATCTGCTAACAAATTAAAATGTTGTCTCCTGGAGATCGTGTAGAAACACCTAAACTCCTCGTTCTCACAGTTCCCTTCTGATGATTCATGAATGATGCTGGATAGGGATTATTGGTACACACCCTCCGGCTCTATTGGTTCTGATTATTTACTGGACGTGTCAGCTTTTCACATCGACCCATCAGTTCCTCAGAAACGGGACTGCCTAATGGGCAGTCTCACCTGGTGTTGGTGTGCTTTAACCACATGTTGATGGTTTTAACATAGAACACTCTTTATTTAAAAAAAAATGTTTAATACTGGCTTTCCATATGGAGTACGTGTCTACTTTGTGTTTAAAATGATAATGTTAATAATCAGCTTGTGTAGGATTTTTTATTTTTTTATGTTTGGTGGACTTTTCCCAAACACCTCTTGAGCCAGATGTGATGACTATCCATGATGAGACGTCAGTGGGGAGAACTCAGGCACACACGTCCACCTGGACTTTTATTTACTAACTCCTCTCTAAAAGATCAGACTGGATTTTTAGATGTAATTGAATTGCATCTACTTCTTTTCTAAAGTTTATTCATGTTGCAATGTTTAGTATTTCAATTTTTTTATTTCTTTTTATGAAAATGACTTGTTTTAATTATCTACATAATAAAGTCTCACTCGGTAACGCGAGAGCTGATTTTCTCCCCTTTATTGTAATAACAAAGCATCTTAAATTAATTCTGTAGTTCCAGAGATGAATCTAATCTAATCTGGGCAAATCGTTTTTAATCCAGCTCTAAAAGAGATCTATGCCTAAAATGATATTAATGCTTTGAAAATATAAACAAAAATGCAGTATTATTATTAGTTTGATGCATTATATTTTTAACACAAGGACAGCAGTAAAAACAAGCGAAGAAGAAGCTGAGTCAAAAACAAAATGGGCCAAAAGGAATAAGGGAAAGACAAAATAAATAAATAACAATAAAACATTAAAACACCAAAAGATCAGGATGTAAGAAAATTGCTCAAGATGAGTTACACATTTCCTAGCAGAGTTTCTAGATGATGACGTGAGTTAATGGATTACTGGTAGTGTTGGAAATACACGGCTCTAATGTCCACACTACTCTTTTGTGCCCCTCTCCCTATTTCCGGCTCAGTCTTCTCACATTACCAGCAGCAGCAGTTCATCAGAAGGTGATGAAGAGGAAACGAACGGCCAGGCTGATGGGAAGCATGAAGAGCTCTCCTCGGGAAAGGCCGACAGTCCCCCGCCCTCCTACAGTCACCAACAGGTAGAACACACACCCGACTGACGGGCGGACTAGTTTCAGCTGAAAGCAGAACTACTCACGAGGCTGCAGAGATGGGTGGTGTGAATATAAAGTAAATCGTTAGGAAATAAGTGGGATTTTTTTACATTTCAAGAAAGTAAAAAGAAAGTAAAAGTCTCAAATCTGAAGAATGTTGTTCTAATCTGACCCTTCGTAATAATCTAATCCCAACTTCAGGTGGAGCAGGTCCAGCATGCCTGCGAGTGCCACGTGTGCAACCAGGACCCCGGCGGCTCCCCCTTGAGCCCTGCCACCTGCCCGCCCCCCAGCCGGCTCCACGCTGGTTCTCCCCCCGCTGTCGGACACCAGTTCTTCACCGACACCAAGGCTCCCCCTGCACACCCCGCCCTCCACTTGTACCCACACATTCACGGACACCTGCCCTTACACAACTTCTCCCGACCCCTCCTTCACCCGACTCTCTACCCACCCAGTCCCTCCCTCACGCACAAGGTGAGGGCAGCGGTCCAGTTTAGCCTTTTTTTTTTAATCTACGTAGGATTTAAGGGGGATTTAATTAACTTCCTCAGCAGCGGGGATTTTCTCTTCTGTTCCAGGAACAAAGCTCTTGGTTGTATTATAGTTTCACTTGCTGTCATAGTTAGGATTTTATCTCCTCAGGGGGGTCGCTTGAGCCTCATTTAGCCAAAATCAAGTCAAAATGAAATTGTCCAAAGCCGTATTTATAATCTGGTTTTTGTCTCTTCAGCCTCTGTCTCCAAACCACTCAGCAGCCAAGCAGCCGGCCTTCGGCTCCCCGTTACCAGATCACGTGTACCCGAACTGCTTCGGTGGGACGGGCGGGGCGGGAGACTGGAATAGCTCACTACAGTGCCTCTCTCTGAAGTTTGAAAATCTGTGGGACGCTGCTTTGATGAAGCTGCCTGAGTTCCTGCCAGGTGAGCTGCCCAGATGCAGCAGCAGCAGGAAAGAATCAGTTCAGTTATAAGTGACTCATTCCCTTTCCTTGGTCTGATGATTCCACAGGTGACGTGCTCGGACCACCCCTCCCAGATGTGCCCCTCCCTCTGACATCCTCCGCCGTTACCCAAGCAGATCACACATCCCTGTCCACACCTCTGCCCACGTCCTCCTCGTCCTCACTGTCATCGTCTCTGTCATCATCCTCATCCTCGTCCTGCTCCTCTTCAGAAGCCAAAGAGCTGAAGAAGACTGGCGCCAAGAAAAAGTGTCTCTACAACTTCCAGGATGCCTTCTTAGAGACCAACCGTGTAGTGATGGCCACGTCTGCGGCCACGTCGTCCGTGTCCTGCACCGCCACCACTGTCCAGTCAAGTAATAACCCCCCCATCCATCTCGCTTCCAAAAGACCCAACTCTATAGGTAATCTAGGAAGTGCGGCTAGTGCTTCGGTTTGTACTGACAATGTGATTAAATATATCATTCTTCAACTCTGAAACCCATCAAGGCAAGTTATTTCAACACTTTCATGACATCATGAGAACATCTTGACTAGTGGAAGCTAACCGTTAGCATTAGCGACTCCACCACACGGCAGAAATCCTTCAGGCTTGCGTTTTTTTTTGTGTGAAAGGAAACCTCAACGTTTCAGAGCAGAGTTGGTGGTAGGGTCGCATTGCTGTTAGCCAATCAGAGATCAGGTGTCAGCATATCAGGAAATAAGTCTCCAAATACCGCCGTCTTCAGCTACCCACTCCTCTGACTAACTCCCAGTTCCTGAAACAGGAGCGCCAGAGCTTCCCCCCCCCCACACAGATCGACTCACAGGACATTCATTTATACTAGAGACAACTGCAAGTGTAATAAAAACGAGTGAACTTGTGTAAACCTCCTTTAGTGTTCCTCATGTTTGTTTTTATTTAATTATTTTTTTATTTCTGTTCTACCAAGTAAAACTTGAATCGCCCCAGTTCTAACTGTTGGTTTAAATGGTGGTAAAAACCGAAACTCTGTTTTTGTCTCGTCTAGATGACATATTTCACAGTTTAGCTAAAGAGGACCACAGACAGCCCGCCACAGCAACCCCCAGAAACTGTTCCACGGGTCTGGCCTCTCTCCCTCCGCTCTCGGGCCCCGCTCTGCCCCCAGCACCCTCATCACACCTCCCCCAGATGGGCTCGCAGCCCTTTCCGGAGATGGCTGCTCAGCCTCCAGGCTTTGTGGAGTCACACCAGGGTCTGTGCCTCCCACCCGCAGAACCCCCAGCAGCTTCAGTGGAGGGTCCTGCCAGCGCTCCCCCGAGTGTCTGCAGGTGAGTTCACTCACTCTCACCTGTTAGGAAGGAGAGGCTATTTGTTGCTCAGAAGGGCCGGGTTTTCCTTTTTCAGTGATCCTGACTGCGAAGGCCATCGCTGTGAAGGAAACGGGTCCTACGAGCCCCAGCCTTACGACGGAGAGGACAGTCAGGACGAGGACAGCTGCTCTGAGCACAGCTCCTCTACCTCCACCTCAACCAATCAGAAGGAAGGAAAGTACTGTGATTGCTGCTACTGCGAGTTTTTTGGTCATGGGGGGGTAAGACGCACACTTTTTTTCTCCCGTTTTCTCTAATAAGTTTTCTGGGTCTAATCTGTTGTTTGTTTTCAGCCACCAGCCGCTCCTACCAGTCGAAACTATGCAGAGATGCGGGAGAAGCTACGCTTACGTCTGACGAAGCGCAAGGAGGAACAGCCGAAGCGCGAAGAGCAGCAGCCTGTGGTTGAAAGGGATGGAGGGGTGGAGGACCACAGGCGGGTGGAGGACCTTCTGCAGTTTATTAACAGTGCTGACAGTAAACCTGCCACCAGCTCTAAGGCAGCCAAACGAGCCAGGCACAAACAGAAGAAGGTAACGTCCCCCTATTGATTGTTTTGGAGAAGATTTTCAAAACAGCTGTTCTGTGTAAATCACCGAACCAGAAGAGGTTCCGTTTTGTTTAAAGTATGTTTATTTCACTTATATCAGAGAAAAGGCGACACTAAATGTGTGTGTCTTGACGTGTTTAGCTGGAGGAGAAAGCCCGTTTGGAGGCAGAGGCCCGTGAAAGGGAGGAGCAACAGCTGTTAGAGGAGCAACGACGGCGGCAGGAAGAGGAGGAGGCAGCACTTCAAAAAGAACTGCTACGGCTGCAGCGGCTGCAGGAGCTGCAGCAGCATCGTGCTGCCAAGAAGAAAAAGAAAGAGAAAGCAAAGGAAAACAATACTCCGCCTCAGAACAACCCACAACCTCTCAAACAGACTGCTCAGAACGTTTTAGATCATCTTCAGAATGGGAAATCGCAGCTGCTTCAGACTCTTATTGGCCTCCCTGACCGGAGGGAGCCCAAACCAGGTCCCCTGTTCCAGCACAGCTCCAAACACTCTGCTGCGAAGGGTGTTTGTAATGAGACCAACGCCCCCGACTCCTCCGTCGGCCTCCAAAATGGCGTGTCTCCCATCGAAGCAAACGGCAAAGTTAAAGCCAAGCAGTCGGGGAAGGCGGTGACCTCCGAGCTGGCTGTAAAACGAGTCCCAGAGTTCTCCAAGAGCTCCGAGATAGCAAAGACCGCTAACGGCACGGGTCCTTCCACTACAACAGAAACCAAAGCAACGCGGATCAGGCCCGCCGACACCCCCGCGTCCCCCCAAAACCCCGAACCACGTCGGGAGGAAAAGCGTAACAACCAGTGTGCCGGTGGGAAAAGGCAGCAGCAACCCCTCACCCAAGTAAAGGAAGACAGGACAAGTCCTCCAGTCCCTAACCTGTCCCCCTCCCCTGTCTCTCACACCGAGGCTCAGCAGAACAGCATACTCCCCGGCGCCGAGTCGCCGCAGCCCAAAGGCAAAGCTAAGAAGGGCAAGAAGAAGAAAGGGGACAAGACGAGCATCTCGATAGGTCGGTATCGTTATGACTCAACCTGACGGTTAAAGTGTGAAGCACAGAAACGGCCACATGCTGATTTCCTTTTGTTAACTAAGCCAAAGTTACTGAAGATTCACATCAAACCCATTCATCACCAGAGTTCTAATTAAAGCTCACCGAACCGTCATAGATGCTGGTAACCGTGTGAATAAACACTGTTTGTTCCTTTGTAAATTCTTCTAGATGATGTGTTCCTGCCCAAAGACATCGACCTAGATAGCACTGAGATGGACGAGACGGAGAGGGAGGTGGAGTACTTCAAAAGGTACGTGTGTTACGGCAACACAATGAGTGAATAAACACTTCAATGGAAACACATTGTCAAGAACAGCTGCTTTGTCATAAAGAGACATTTATTCCATTTTTAAGTGTTTTTAATGAATGTGTTTGAGATGGTTTCCTAACAGCCTCTGTTCAGAGAGGCATTCAACAGGACTGATAAGCTAATGGCTAGGCTCAAGGCTGAAGCTGTCAATACAAATGTAGTATAATAAATCTCTGCATTATAGTTATTTTTGGAAGAAATTTAAAAATAAAATCCAGCCAGACTTGAAGCAGAGTAAAAAAAATCCGATTTCTGTAGTTTTAAAGTCCGGTTTTGGTTTTTTCTCCCAGATTCTGCTTGGACTCTGCTCGACAGACCCGCCAGCGCCTTTCCATCAACTGGTCAAACTTCAGCTTAAAGAAAGCTACGTTTGCTGCACACTGAGGGTGTTAATGACTGTCTGAGCACCGATCCGTACATTATCAGCTATACACCCCCCACCCTCCAAACCTCTGTTTCCTGTCTGACCATCTTTACCCGCTCCTAGAACCACACCCACGCTGCCTTGCTTTGTTTTTGTCCGTGTGGTAACAACACAGATCCATCTGGACTGAACTGATCCAGCTGCAAACATTCAATTAAAACATTTTCCCAAAAGAATCACATCTGATGTAATTTTCCTTGCGTGCTTGTGTGATTTTATGGTCTGGAGTTATTTTTCTTACACTGGCTCACCTGTAGTCAAAAGATGCTTATATGTTCCTTCTTTAAAAAGAAGACAATGGAAAGAATATAAAAAGAATTATAATGAATTAAAGATGTATTTGAGATACTGTGGCTTGCAATCCCATTGTTCCCAGCTCTACTTCACACAATTGACGAGGGAATGGGCTTGGTTTGCTGGTTTCCACTTCCCCATTTTCCCCACTGCCTCCATCTTGTTTCACAGGAGGGAGGAAGCCGAAATACTTGACTTTTTGTTTTGTTTTAAGTTCTGTTTAACAAACTTGACAAGTAAAAGTGTATCAGTTATATATATATATATATTTTTTTTTGTTTATTTGACCTGTAGCCAGCTTGTGTCAGCTTGTGCTTTCAGAATGAAATTGGGGGGGGGGGATACTCACACTATCAATCTGTTATAGAGTGTATATTGTATTAACACTGAAGCCAAACTGGCTACTTTTAACATATTGTTAAGTAATATTAAAATCTTGTCTTTCTTTTTTGAAAGATGGAATACAGTAGTATGACAGGCTAACGTGTCTTGTGTCAAAACTTATTTTCTGCACACAGATAAAAAGAAATCAAAAACTTCACCCCACGGTTATTAAATCTGCCTCCCAAGTGTTGAAAGTCAGATCCCACATATATAAAGTCTTGTACTTTAAGCATTTTAGCTGGTTAATCAATTTGGCTGTTGCTAGGATTTTAGCAACCGTAGACTTTTACCTTTGATCCATATTTAGAGTGAAGTCTGCAAATTTACCCTTGAAAATGAAAGTTCTTAAATAGTTCTTGGTGATTATTTTGTCATTTTCTGGCTGCAGTTACAAGCGCTCGTAAAACTAATATGACAAAGTTGATTTATTTCAATAATTTTATTCAAAAAGTTAAATTTGTTAATTATATTCACTAATTACACACAGACTGATATATTTCAAATGTTAATTCTTTCATTTTGATGATTATAACTGACAACTAATGAAAAGCCCAAGTTCAGTATCTCAGAATATTAGAATATTGTAAAAAGCCGGTATTGAAGGCCCCTGGTGCCACTCTAATCAAAACACATGCAAAAGCCTTTAAAGGGTCTCAGTCTAGTTCTGTAGGCTACACATTCATGGGGAAGACTGCTGACTTGACATTTGTCCAAAAGATGACCATTGACACCTTGCACAAGGAGGGCAAGACTCAAAAGGTCATTGCTAAAGAGGCTGGCTGTTCACAGAGCTCAGTGTCCAAGGACATTAATAGAGAGGAGAAGGGAAGGACATGATAAGGTAGAAAGTGTACAAGCAATAGAGATAACCACACCCTGGAGAGGATTGTAAAACAAAACTCATTCACATGGGGGAGATTCAAAAAGAGTGGACTGCAGCTGGAGTCAGTGCTTCAACATCCACCACACACAGACATATGTAAGACCTGGTTTCAGCTGTCGCGTTCCTTGTGTCAGGCCACTCTTGAACAAGAGACAGCAACAGAAGCATCTCGCCTGGGCTAAATACAAAAAGGACTGCACTGCTGCTGAGTGGTCCAAAGTTATGTTCTCTGATGAAAGTAAATTTAGTATTTTCTTTAGAAACCAAGGTTTCAGTCTGGCAGACGGGAGGAGGGGACAGTCCATGCTGCTTGAGGTTCAGTGTAAAGTTTCCCATCAGTGATGGTTTGGGTTCCCATGTCATCTGCTGGTGTTAGTCTATTGTGTTTTCTGAGGTCCAAGGTCAACGCAGTCATCTACCAGGAAGTTTCATAGCACTTTGTGCTTCCTGCTGCTGACCAACTTTATGGAGATGCAGATTTTCTAACAGCACTTGGCACCTGCACACAGTGCCAAAGATACCAGTACCTGGTTTAAGAACCATGGTATCCCTGTTCTTGACTGGCTAGCAAACTTTCCTGACGTTCACTCAACTTTGTCATGATGTTATAAATTATTGACCAGCACTTATATTCTTGGCACCTGCTAGCTTTATGCTAGTGGCCACCCAAAACACCTCAGTGCGATAATCTGATGAATCTTGTTTAGTCACTGTAACATTGGAGCACCACAGGGGACTGCGCTCTCGCCATTCCTTTACACCCTGTACACCTCAGACTTCCAGTACATATCAGAGACCTGTCATCTACAGAAATACTCAGATGACTCTGCAGTTGTCGGGTGTATCAGAGATGGACAGGAAGCTGAGTACAGAGAGCTGGTGGAGCGCTTTGTGGCATGGTGTGGAAACAATCATCTGACCTTGAACGTGAACAAAACAAAGGAGATGATTTTAGACTTCAGAAGAAACAGGGTGGAGTCAAACACTGTTTCCATCATGGGAGAAGAAGTGGAGGTGGTTGAGGAATACAAATACCTTGGAGTTCACCTGGACAACAGACTGGACTGGAGAAAGAACAGCAAAGCCATTTACAAGAAGGGGCACAGCAGACTGCACTTTTGAGGACGCTTAGGTCCTTCAATGTCTGTAGCAAGATGCTGCAGATCTTCTACAAGTCTGTTGTTGAGAGTGTAATCTCTTCATCCATCGTCTGTTGGGGTAGCAGCATCAGAAGCAGGGACCTGAAAAGGCTCAACAGCCTAATAAAAAAGGCTGGTTCTGTTCTGGGGACGACCGTGGAACCACTGGAGGAGATAATGCAAAGAAGGATTCTCCAGAGAATCAAGAAAATTATGGACAACCCTGAGCATTCTCTTCACAAGACTGTCCGACAACGGAAGAGTGTCTTCAGTCAGAGGCTTCTTCAGTTTGGCTGCAACACTGACCGCTACTGGAGATCCTTCCTGCCAACAGCCATTGTAATATACAACAACTCTTTGATGACTTGATTATTATTATTATTCTGAGCTACTACAGAAATCAATTTCCCTCTGGGATTAATAAAGTATTTTTGAATTGAATTGAATTGAATTTGAATTAACTTGAGCTTCATTGCACAAAGCAGCTAAAAGCTACATGTAGTGCACTCATGTCCAAAGTTCGACCTTGGAGCCATTTGTAGCCTTCATATTGATTGATTTATATATTTTTGTGTCCCCCAATCACATTTCTTGTGAATTGCTTTTGTTTATACGGCAGGCAACACTAATGTTCAGATCATTACTAATATGCCTCTTTAGACCAGGGATTCCCAAAGTGTGGTGCGCGCACCCCCAGGGGGTGCGCGAGCTGCCGCTAGGGGGTGCGCGAGGTGAAAAGTGTAATGGCTGCGGAGCTCAAAGAAGTCTCATATGTCACCATTAGCATAGAAACTCATTTGTGGGTGGGCCAAAGAAAAAGTAAGTGGGCACAATAAATGTAATTGAAAACAAGTATATTTTTGCGCGTGCGTGTGTCCTCCACATGTGCCCTAGCTTCATAATAACAATGCGCAGAGCTTCAGCACTCTGGCCTGCGCACGCCGATATGTTCCGTATTTGATCATTTTTAACGGTGTTGGAGGAATCTGAAGGTGGTGAGTCATTCTGGCAGATTGTAATTAACACCTGTCTCATGCAGGTGTTCTGACATTGTAAACCTCACACACAGGACATTGTGGATGTAACTAAATAACAAGAAATGATTCCCATTCAGGCTATTGACAGCGCGCTGAAGATCTGAAGTTCAGAGTGCGTCTGTCAGACGCGTTCCGGCTGAACCACGGCTCACCGGTGCACAAGTGAGCACATCTGGGCTGGGCAGAAGGAATTTTACAACATTGGTTTAAATAGCGCGAGACGCGGTGACTTGAGCAGCTGTGCCGCGCGCGCGTGCGCGCGCACACACACACACACACACAGATTCAATAAGCGCACACGCTGCTTTAACTCCGGCGCGCAGTCAGACTGAAGGCAGAAATGAACGCTGCCTCCACCGTGATAAAAACTTTTAAGAGGTTATTTTTCATTCAAGGTCAAATTAAGATATTAGCTTCTGGGATGAGTCGGGTCCGCTCCAGCCAGTGACTCCTCATGAACCTGACCACAAGTCCTGTTACTGCAGCATTTGTTATTCCGGTCCGCATGACAGCGGATCGCAGATTCAGCCACACCATAAAACAGCAATAAGTCGGTCTGAGATAAAAGTGAACCTCATGGCTATTTACTTGTCCCCTATTGACATTTGATTACACACAAGTAGGTGATCAGCTCAGGTTTACGCAGAGCAGAAGGAAGGAGAGCGCTCTGGCCGCACAGGTTAAACGTTCCTACTTTAAGAAAACCGTTAAATTGCATTGTTTATGTGCTACCTGGGCACTCTAAATGTTTATTTAAAATGAAATCAAAGGAAATTGTAATGGTATCGAATGTTTATTATTTACTATTTAAAAAATGAAAGTGATGGGGAATCTTTTTAACCCTGTCTGTTTAGCTTGACATCTAATATATATATATATATATATATATATATATATATATATATATATATATATATATATAGAGAGAGAGAGAGAGAGAGAGAGAGAGAGAGAGAGAGAGAGAGAGAGAGAGAGAGAGAGAGCCATGCCCCGATGTGGGGGCTGGGGGGGGGGGGGGGGGGGGGGGGGGCGTCGACATGGTCGGGACATAGAAGGGGGTGTGCGGCTAAATAAGTTTGGGAACCACTGCTTTAGACCATTGTTGAGAAGAAAATTTTCACAACATTGAAAAAAATACACGTTATGGCTAGCACAATTATCTTGACGAGTTGGGCCCTTTTAAAAATGTGGACACCAGTGGTTTGTCATGAGCCGGGGTGAGTACTCCTCATTCACCTTAGCATAGCATAGCATAGTTTATTTATATAGCACATTTGAAACACAGCATGGGAGCTGCCCAAAGTGCTGCACAGGCTAAAACAAAACAACCATTCGAAAGAACTAAAACAGAGGATAAAAATCCCAATCAAAAGCAGATAAAACATGATGAATACTAAGAACACATTAAAACAATGATACAATAAAACACTAAAATGAGT